ATAGAAGACTGCATACCCCCCATACACCCCCGTGTAAGTCACCTTCTCAACTCAAAAGGGAAGGTGAAGAACACAGTCTAATGCCTAACTACATCCTTAATCACTCTTATAGAGCATATAAACAAGTGATCGAAATCCCCGGGTCGAAATCAAACTCTGAATACTCGTTTCCCAGTTTGATTTTCAATCACCTTGGAAATCCAAGATGAATCAAACTATCACTCAGAGTAAATCATATTGACGTTGGTTGTGATTTTGAGTGATAAGGTATAAAACAAGTGATCGAAACAATGGGCGCTTCATAATTAAAGGTGCAACAATTAGTGCAGGGAGTCATTCAACGATCACCGACCAGTGTCAAAATATATTTAAGTTTGGATAAGACTAACATAAGACATTCTGATACTCATAGCATCTTTCTGTTTCACCTGAAACATGCTCTGATATTATGAGGCATATTCTGTGATCTGAACACATCAGATGGGAAGAGTTATAACTGTCAATAAGTGAGATAGTTATCATGTAATCATTTACCTAATGTCAATACATTACATAATAGGCATTGTATTTAACAGCAGATATTAGCACAGGCACGTGTACACAAGTTTAACGACCCCAATTAAATGAAATATGAGCTGGAATGAAAGATCTCAAAAATCCTCAATTTTGGGCTCTCCTGGATGGTAGACTGTAAATCTAGTAAATCTAGTAAATCTAGTAAAACTAGTAAATCTAGTAAATCTAGTAAAATCTTGTAAAATCTTGTAAAAACTTGATTATTCAATGTCTAAGATATAAAGTGCAAATGTCGAAAAAGCACTGAAAATGCCTTTGTATGAATGAAATGAACATGTAGAAAAAATTCTACCTTTTATTTCATTATATTTAGTTACAAAACAACTATATGTTAGTACTGGATAACAAAATGGTTATCAAATGGTACACCCATTTTATCATCATACACAACCCACCCAAGAAGCATGCTCTATTAACAAATTAAGTTACATATTTAAGGACTGAGGGGACAATGCGTACCATCTAAATGACACAGGCTTGTTTTTCCCTCACAAAATGTTATAATGCTTAGTCTATCAGATAATTTAGTTATTGCTTATTTTTTGGCGATGCTGTTCAATTGACAATATTTGTAAAAGTTCCAATGTGAGAGGAATGGATAAATGGCAATTTCAAAATTGATTTTTGCCAACCCCCAAAAAATAATAAAAAAAACAATCAAATGCTGTAGTAAGGGGAATCTAGTGAGACAACTTACTGATTGATCTATTTGCTTTACCTATACATAAAGTATAGTATGGCATTTCTACAATGCTTTCCATTTACGTTTTGATGATGATATGTTCCTTGTATTCCTTGTAATTAATAGTTTAAAGCCATATCATATCAGCCCCTTAAACATTCTTTTTTATTATAATATTTCACAATTTTGTTAAAAAATTTGTATATTGATTATTTAATGAAAGGAAAGACTCTGAATTTTAATGCAGAGAAGGTATTTTTCTAATGTTGTAAAAGGAATCATAATCACCAATACTCTTACATAGAGACTGACATTGATATCAAATGAATGGTCCCTAAAAAGTTTACAAGATTTTACAAGATTTTACTAGATTTACTAGGTTTACTAGATTTACGAGATTTACTAGATTTACTAGATTTACAGTCTACCCTCCTGGATCGCCAAATCAAGCTCATTATATCATGGCATCTCAGGGCTGAGAAGAAATGAGATGTCATGGTATATCATGATGAACATAAGATAATATTTGGATAAGATGACTAACATCCATTTTCAAAAGAAACCCCCTGGATGAACATTATTTCAGCTGATATTCCTCTTGAAACGTGGTGGATCTTAAAATCTATAAGTGGAACTCCCTTTATAGAAGCTTTGAATTGAATTTACACTTCTTAATGCTGAAATTGATAGTTTATCCATACATTTTAAGAAAATAAGTATGTCAAATAAGGTGTTAAGCCAAATATTGTCCTGAGGGGTCATTCATCAAGCTATCGCAATCACTGCGACGTCGCAGACACTGCGACCACCGTGCGAGGTCGCAGTGACTGCGACTGCGACCTATTCATTAACAAATCGCAGTCTGCGATGTCCATGCGACCAGTCGCAGTGATTACCACGTGGACATGCTTGTACACGTGTTAGTTATCCTTTCGAGATCCTCTTGTATCATTTCGTAAACTTTTATAATAGTTAACCCTAGGCATGTGACCTCGCAAAATAAGGTCCACATCATCGTTTATTTGAAGAGGATCTGTACGATCTCTAAGTACGCGTTCTCTACGCAGAGCATTACGGTTGAAGAAATCAACCATCAGTTGCGCCATTTCGAACGAATAAACGCTTCCAACAGACGATTAACATGTCATGCAAGATTGACAATATGGATACTGAGTGGGCACAGCCACGTGGGTCAAAACCACGTGTAACGCACAATCACTGCGACCGGTCGCACGGTGAAGTACTTAAAAATACAAGCCGAAAACTAGCTGTTTTTGGTAGCATTACAAACATGTTAAACATAATGCATGTGCTCTGCAATTTTAATATAGCATGGATCGAATATCGAACTATACGTCCTAGAATTTCTATATAATTTCATAAAGAAATTCAACTAATTTAAGACATTTTTCGTGAACTAAAATCGCTGCGACTGGGTACCACCGGTCGCTTAAATTTGGGTCATTTTAGGGGTATTTCACTGCGACTTCGCAGGAAATTCTACCGATCGCAGTCGCACGAGATTGATGAATAGGACGTAATCGCTAAAAAGGGCCCTTGCGACATCGCAGGCTTGCGACGTGCTTGCGATAGCTTGATGAATGACCCCTCTGATAGCTCAGAAAAAATAAAAAAATTCGAATTTTTTTCCCCACATTTTCTCTAAGGGAACATGGGGCAAAGCGGCCCAAAAAAATTAATTTTAAGTTGTTCTGTACGGGGTATTTTCGTATCTGTCAATCATCGCGCACTTTGATGTTCCACTTTATTAATGGTTTGTGGTTTACATTTTTCGAGTGTTTTATACTTTCCTAGGACTATCTTCTGTGATTTTTCAATGGTCAAAAATATTGTCGAGAGTGGGGCAAAACGGCCCATGGGTGGGGCAAAACGGCCCACCCTCTGTTACATGGGTTTTGAAACCAAAATTAATCAATTACAAGACTCGTCCACAAACATCTTATCTCAGACGTTCAAACCTTTGACAGATAAAGTATTCTTAACCCCTACCATAATTCTAGTCATTCGATATGTGTCGGAAGGAAATTAGGCACAAGCCAGATGTTAAAATTGTTATATTTGAAAACCAATTGTTCTTGCACAATAAGATTTTTGTATGTTATAACATGTGTGGGCCGTTTTGCCCCAAAGACATGTGAATTTTCAAATAGACGTCATTTTAATTTGCCTAATATTTGAAGCTCGAAATTTTTACAAATAAATAATAAATGTGCACACTCTATGTAAAATGTTAAATCAAAACGATATTCTATTGTTGCCGGATTTTTTAGAGATTCTCGTGAGAGGGGTAATTTCCAAAAAAGAGGGTGAAAAGTAGAATTACCTCTTACGTAAAGCGAGACGCTGCTTGGTTAAAAATGGACGCTCGAGAAGGTGGCAGATATTTCAAAATTCGATTTTGTGACTTTTGAAGAACCATCTTTTTATAGTTCAAAAGATATTTCGATGGGCCACTTTGCCCCAGAGGGCCGTTTTGCCCCATGTTCCCCTACATGGAATAAAGATGGCAAAATATCACAAATGCAAGTTATTACGAATGGTTAAAAATATTACAACATTTTGCATAGGCGTAGCCAGGGGAGGGGGCGGGGGAGTGGGTGCGATGGCCGTTAGATAAAGGAAGAAAATAGTTTTATTATGTTTTTCATTTCCTTTTTTTTTCTTTGAATTTTACAAAAACTGATGTAACTTCCTTCAAAATTGAGAAGAAAATTGAGCTAGAAGCTTCAAATAAAAACACCCCCTTCCCTGACTGAAAGCTGGCTACGCCCATGTTTAGCCAGGTAAGGAGTCAAAACTACAGTGAGGTTTATAAAAACTTCATTTCCATGGTTTAAACGTCTGAAAATACTATTTCTGTAAAATGTTGAGGACTGAGCCGTCTCTGTGACCCGGTGTAAAAGGGTAGGAGGTCCTATTAATTTATGGTCCTACTCTCCATTGATTTATGTGGTGACCTCTTTGTGCTCTTTCCCTTATTGTCTAATGCACAATCATGGCCAGTAAGGGACTTTAAAAAGGGGACCATAATCCTTGGGGGACCATATAATTTCTTTCACACCGGTCTCTAATGCAAGGTCATCGACTATCCAAACTCGGAATTAGCGCCATGATCAACGATTCGTGAATTTTGTAATAGTCCGTCGCCCTCGGTCTGGCACTAATACAAATAAATTAATGTCAAAATACTGACACTGCCCCCGGGCACTGGGCTTAGCAGGTATGTGTAATTGATTGATTGAAAGTGAAAATTCCTTGACCGCACGGACACGATGAGCCATGGCTCAATGTATTGATTACTAGAAGCATCGGATTCTTTGAGAATTACGGTATGAAATAGATCCCCATACAGCACACAGTGCACACAGTTGATGAATCAAACAAGATAGTTGACATCTATGAATGGCATTTGTACCATTTGAGGTTTGAGCAGACGGTGAGTGCAATATAACGTGAAATGTTTTTGGCTACTCAATTAAAACTTACGGGCGAGTTTAAAAAATAAAATGGGTGAAAGGCTAATTCTAACTAAATCAATAAGTACATTTGATTTGTTTCAACAATCAGTTATGAAAATTTCGATCAAATTTGTATAATATTTATTCAAATAACTAAATTGATACAACATAGGCATCAACATAATCAAGCCTGTGCCAGGTTTACTGCATTATCACCCCTTTTGAAAACTTTAAACTCGTCTACAGTACCACGTGACTAACCTAAGCAACATCTAAACAATATGGCGGCTAACAGGTGTCTTATCGATAATTTGAAACGATGAAGTAGCACCGTTTTCTCCTACAATATAACATGATGATGCACAGAATATCGACTGGATCTAACATGGATATTACTACATGGTCTTTACCGCACAATATAGGAACTTTTACTCGGAAAACGGAAGTTTAACACTTATGAAAGTGTTAAAAAGTTGATTTTTAAATTAAATTTAAAAAAAACAGTGAAATATGTCCGAGAATTTGTCTCTGCTGAGCAGAGGAGTTGGGCAAATCCACCGTATTGACGAGGATGCTGAGAAGATTGAGGTCAAATATGAACCAGAGGTAAGATTTTGTACTCATTTAAAACATAAATGATTACCAGTAAATCATAGAAAAATCTTGAAACATATATTTATTAAAGATGTTTGAATCATTTGTTCAAATCAGAAGTAATAATTCCATATTTACATGCCAGCACATGTACTGTTATTGTTACTGCTATTTTTTTAGTTAGGTCATAGTTACAGTTCAATCACTTGACAAGCCCTGAAGAATAACATCAAATAATGCATAATAATTTTGAGTATACACATACATTTAATTTTTTTGAGTTTACACATACATTTGTTTATCTTTCAGGACTATTATAACTGGACTGACAACCCAGACAGAATGTTCCTGCCCCCTATCCACATCCCTAGGGTGGCATTTCAAGACACAACCCCCAGATCTGATACTTCAATCACAGGAGGCAAACACTTCGAAGCCCACCTGCCAAAAACATTTACAACCAGAAAAGGTGCCATGTTATTGTTCTCGGAGAATCTGGCAATGAAAAACAAATCTGCTCATAGACCTGTAAGGACTACATCGCGGAAACGTAGGAAAAATATTTCAAAGAGTTTGGATGATTTTGATGTGAATCTCAATACTGTGGGAGACTTGACTAAGGAAATATTAGCTTTTGGAGGAGACCAATATGGGGATAAGGTAACTTAAATAATTGAATATAGTCTTACTATTCAACATGAATAGTGTTCCCCATGGAACTTCCATTATACCTACAGGTAATTGTTACGAAATCTAAACTGATCAAAGTATTTAGATTTTTTCATGTTTTCATATTTCATGGTATTACTACACATCTACATGTAATGATGGGTAGAATGGGAATTACTTTGTTATTACAGGTCCCTTCTTCTTGAAAAAATACTGAACGTGTGTAGAATTTCAACCTCAAATTGACTTCTGCCATTTACATGTAGATTAAAAAATACCTGGCTGCTTACTAGTCAAGATTTACTATTCAAGTTATAATCATACATCAAGTATCAATCCCTGCTACTGATATCCATACCTTGTATTTATTACATAATTTTACAATGATAAATTAGGTATATAATATCTTGTTGTTTATCAAGACCAAAAGGTATCTTAGACTATCTGCACCTGGAGTACATGTAAATCAATCTGATCTAAGCAAACTAGACTGGTCCCATTTATTCAATATTTCAGGATTTTCACACATATCCTATAACAACCATCTTGTGTTACGACGGTATATCATGCTCCTTCCTAGGCAAGATCAATGAATGTTGTTAAGTACTAAATTGGAATCCTCTACGAAAATCACACCATGCATTGTTTAATTACTGTTTGCTCCTATGTGGTCTATTGTCCTTTAGAGTATAATTGTCAGATCTGCATCTTTTCACAGAACCCATGATCAATAGATAGCGGGAACATTGATCCAGCTTGTGTATAAATTGCTGCAATTTTCCAATTTTAAGTCAAGAAATTAAGCTGGAAAAAGTACAGTTTGCAATCACATTAGTGTGGGTAGATGCTATGATTAGGAATAGTTGTCTCGTTTTCAACTGAGGTAATTCAATAATTTTAAAAGAATATAGAGAGAAATAAGTGTGTTGATCAGCATGACATCTTAAGTACTGACATTTTATCGCTATTCTTGAGGCATCTTTGTCAGGATGTTAACGTTAAACAAGTGCCATGGCATTACCTTGTTTAGGTTTTAGACTCAAGGGTATTGTTATGGATTTTTACTGTACAAGTAATGTGTATAATATCATATTCATGTGTATAATATCTAACCATATCCATATATGAATAAGATAATCAGAACTGAAGTAACTACAAGTTACATGAATTGGAAATTGTAATGAACATTTTAAATTACTTTTGAAAATATTTGTGCTAAAATATTGAGAACGGTCATTATACTGTAATTTTCAGGATGTTTTCTCTTCATTTTACCATTTTTGATCAAAATAACTTGATACATGTTCTTCATCCTTTTGACGGGGGGGGGGGGGGGGGGGGGGTTGAGGGGGGGGGGCGGTTCTAATAGATTTTCAACAGGTTGACATGTCCAATTTTTAAAAGGGTACAGCACACAATTAATTACGAAAACAACTACAAGGAGATTCCACATACATTGAAAACCTATCTATGGCTAGACAATAAGCCACATTTATTGTAAATGTTAAACTAACTTAACTGATAAAGTGCTACTTCATTGACAATGCTATCACGATTCTCAAACATAAACATCTCTCTGTGCCTAGCAATGTAGACCAGGTAAAAACATTCCTTGCTACTGTCTTTGGTAACCAATTGAGAGTTATCTTATCCTAATGACCTGATACTCTATGGGTCATCACAACTAAAAGCTTTGTTCCCAGAATTCTTCAAAAGGATGAAATATCTATGTATTTTGACCAAAAAAGGTAAAATCAAGAGAAAACATCCTGATGAGATCATTGTATAATAAATAATTTCATTATCTTCATATTTTAACCATTTAAAGACAAATTGTTTCAAAATGTTCATTCTACTTCTCAATACATGTAGTTACATCATGCTTGATTATCTCTATATTATATGGCTAGATATGAACAGTAAAAAGCTTTAATCCTTAATAAAAAGTGAAATGTTAATTCACTTTGTTGCATGTTAACATCCATGAATCTGATCAGTTGCGGAAATGTAGCATTTACAGTTAGATTGATTAGAAACCGTTAGGTGCTCTGTCTGCCCACTTATCTAATCAATCTATTGATTTCCATATTGAAATCTCATACCTTTTACCATCTTTTTTCTTCATTTACCTCAATTGTCTCTTAAGTTTGACGTAGTGTCAATTTTTCATGCATTTCTATACAATTTAGAGTATGCACTTAATACATATACTTTAAATCATTTGTTTTTGGTTGTTTCTAATTTTATGTTTTAAATCTCGGTTGCCTGGTCATTTTTATACAGGGGAATAGTTCCGTTGAGGAAATAGCGACAAGTTTGCCTTTATGGGGAGATTAATTTACAACTATTATTTAGAAAACTATTGTGTTTTATCAATGGATGCGCAAGCAATTATTGGATCCTTCTTCTTTATAAGAACAAGGATACAACAACAACAATTGTGATTTATTCTATGGAGTTGTGATTTATTATGTCACCACCAAAAGATTATGTCACCACCAAAAGTGGTGACATATTGTTATGGTCTCCGTTTTTTTTGCGACGGCGGTTGGCGTCCGGCGGTTGGCGTCTGTAACAATTTCTTACAACTTCCTATAACTTAACAAATACTGTTTAGACTGACTTCAGTTTTTTCTAAATCATCTACATGTTCTCAGAAGTTCAAATCTGACTTTAGATTTGACATTTGACCTTCAATGACGTTCTCAAGGTCAAAAAGGTATTTTTTCAACTTGCTTCACATTGACTAAATTTTTTTTCAAAATCATCTACATGTTCTCAGAAATTCAAATCTGACTTTAGATTTGACATTTGACCTTCAAATCTGACTTTAAATTTGACATTTGACCTTCAATGACCTTCTCAAGGTCAAAAAAGGTCAAAAAGGTCTGTTTTCAACTTGCTTCAAATTGACTAAATTTTTTTTTCAAAATCATCTACGTGTTCTCAGAAATTCAAATCTGACTTTAGATTTGACTTTAGATTTGACATTTGACCTTCAATGACCTTCTCAAAGTCAAAAAAGGTCAAAAAGGTATTTTTTCAACTTGCTTCAAATTGACTAATTTTTTTTTTCAAAATCATCTACATGTTCTGAGAAATTCAAATCTGACTTTAGATTTGACATTTGACCTTCAATGACCTTATTAAGGTCAAAAAAGGACAAAAAGGTCTGTTTTCAACTTGCTTCAAATTGACTAAAATTTTTTTTTTAAATCATCTATGTGTTCTCAGAAATTCAAATCTGACTTTAGATTTGACTTAAGATTTGACCTTTAATGACCTTCTCAAAGTCAAAAAAGGTCAAAAAGGTCTTTTTTCAACTTGCTTCAAATTGACTAAATTTTTTTTTCAAAATCATCTACATGTTCTCAGAAATTCAAATCTGACTTTAGATTTGACATTTGACCTTCAATGACCTTCTCAATGTCAAAAAAGGTCAAAAAGGTCTTTTTTCATCTTGCTTCAAATTAACTAAAAAAAATTTCAAAATCATCTACATGTTCTCAGAAATTCAAATATGACTTTAGATTTGACTTTAGATTTGACATTTGACCTTCAATGACCTTCTCAAGGTCAAAAAAGGTCAAAAAGGTCTTTTTTCAACTTGCTTCAAATTGACTAATTTTTTTTTCAAAATCATCTACATGTTCTCAGAAATTCAAATCTGACTTTAGATTTGACATTTGACCTTTAATGACCTTCTCAAGGTCAAAAAAGGTCAAAAAGGTCTGTTTTGAACTTGCTTCAAATTGACCAAATTTTTTTTTTAAATCATCTACATCTTTTCAGAAGTTCAAATTTGACTTTTACAAGTTCTCAGAAGTTCAAATCTGACTTTAGATTTGACCTTTGACCTTCAATGACCTTCTCAAGGTCAAAAAGGTCTTTTTTCAACTTGCTTCAAATTGACTAATTTTTTTTTCAAAATCATCTACATGTTCTCAGAAGTTCAAATCTGACTTTAGATTTGACATTTGACCTTCAATGACCTTTTCAAGGTCAAAAAGGTCTTTTTTCAACTTGCTTCAAATTTACTTAATTTTTTTTTCAAAATCATCTTCATGTTCTCAGAAGTTCAAATCTGACTTTACATTTGACATTTGACCTTCAATGACCTTCTCAATGTCAAAAAAAGTCAAAGAGGTATTTTTTCAAATTGACAAATTTTTTTTTCAAAATCATCTACATGTTCTAAGAAGTTCAAATCAAACCTTCTTAAGGTCAAAAGGTATTTCCAACTTGCTTCAAATTGACCAAATTGTTTAATTTTGTCATGTTAATGCCTTGTTTTAAATAGTTTACCTTATATGCTTTCTGAATTCAAATTGTGATAAAATCTACATAACATATTCTTGTTTCTAAGTTGAAGTGAATTGGCACTTACACTAATCTGCTGACCATTAAATTAAATACCATAAATCATGTTGAAAGTCATGATGATGATAAAAGATACTAAGAATCAGTGAAAATAGCAAGAAAACAGTTGAGAAATGGTCACATTGCACAGAATTTGTTATCATAGAAATGTTGTCACTCTAACTAAAATCAGGGCAATAAATACATTCATATTGCAGTTTAACCTGTATATCTGAACACCTTTTATCTTCAATGGGAACAACTCTTATATGAACACTCTCATTGCCAATTTTATAATCTCCCATTGACTCCAGTGTTTAAGAAAACCTTGTGAACACCCAGTATTCTGAACACTTTTGGCTGGTCAGGCCCGTAGCCAGGGGGTTCGCCCGTGGGGGGGGGGGCGAATTATTTAGGTTTTACTGTATTTTATCTAATTGCATATATTCTCGGCAATGGTTGGTAAACTTAAATTTGTTTTGAAGCGCTTGTAAATCGTGAATCTTTTGAATTGGTAAGTAAAACTGGAGAGAACACTTAAGGAACTAGGGTGATAAATTGTTATGGGTGTTTGGTGTAATAATACTTGAGATAATCTTAAAGTTATTTGCAGAACTGTTTTAATAAAAGATGGATGTGTCAAGCACTGGAAATCAAGAACCTCTTTTTGGGTTATTAATGAGTTTGATCAAATATTTTTTTGTAATTGCATCTCGTTCTCTCCCACATACAAGCTTGTATTACACAGTTTGAGCTAATAGAAAAGAGGGAGGCGTGAGATCAGAATCTTGATTCGAATCCATACAAAACATGGTATGATGCTCACATTTGTGTGACTGCCATTGTCAATCAGTTTTTACTGTTGGCAATGGACTAAATAGAAATGAAAAACAGTGTCCTGTTGGACATTGGACTGAATCATTGTAAGGTAAATGGTGGCGATCATGTTTTCAACCAAAGGGCTAGATCATGATCTCTCTTTCGCCACATTTAGAGGTAAAAAATTGGGGCATGAATAAACCCAAATCAATGATATATTATTGGGACTTGTATCCTGTTAGAAATTAGGAAATTGCGTGCATAATTTAATTATTTTATTATTGTTTTTTTACAATAGGAAAATGACAATGGTGTTTATCTTGGATTTGTCCATAAGAGGCGACGGGACCCCTACATTCGACCAATTAGACCAGGGTATTCTGCCAAACGATATCTTCCTAGTCTCACAAAAAGTTTTGATGATTCTGTCTTGGAAAAACTTACCAATAAAGGTATATCAAAATTCTAAAGTTCTCTAAAGTTTCTAATTTGTAAGCCATGAGTATTTCATTAGTAGATTGATATGTCATTATGAAATATATGAAAATGATTTTATGACGAAATAATTCATCATAATTATACTTATATATCATGATTTAAAAATTGGACTTTAATAGTTGGAATTATTTAGAAAACAACTTTAATATTCAAACAATTTAATAACTTACATGTTGTCATTTTTCTGCATATAATATAAAGTAATTTATAACACAAGGTAATACAAAATGAATATTCTTTTATTCCTAGGTCAAGTCACAGAACAAAGCTTGTTTCACAATAATTTACTTATACCCTGGCTAAAGAAGCGCTACAACCCTGACCTCACCGTAGAGCCTCCCCCCTATAGGCTGATGCGGCAGTGGCTGCGCTCCCCTGGAAATCTCACTGGCTACACATTCTACAAGACGCAGGGGGATGAGCAGCTAGAAGATGGTATAAAGACTTTTAATTTTGTTGATAGTTTTCATTTTAGATTAAATATGGTTTTTATTCATGTAGTATGTGATAAAACATGTATTTAGCAAAACTGATGGAAATGAAATTTTATGTGAAAACTTGAGAAATAAGCCTTTATCCTATGGATAATTTGTTTTATCCTATGCCAAGTAGAGTTTTAGGGAGATAAGTTGGTAAGATATATCCCGTATCCTGATTTTGAGGTTTCCATATCCTGAACCTCCATATCTCCCGCCATATCTCCCGCTCCAGGGCATATCTTCCCGCTTCGAAAAAAAAATTGAAAAATTGAAAAGAAATTAGAAAAATGTAAAAAAAATTGAAAAAATTAAAAAAATTGAAAAAATGAAAGAAAATTAGAAAACTCTACTTGGTATTGGATAAAGCAGTTATGTACGGTCGGTTTGGATATTGGGTTCATCCCTCTTCAGATATGCACATCTACCTTCGGTCCCTACGGTACCTCAGGTAGATATGCATATCTCCCTCTGGATAAACCCCATATCCAAAACCTCCCAGTACATAACCCTTATTTATTCATGAATATAATTAAAATATATCTACTTGTAAATGCTTTTCTATTCAGTATGTTTGTATTTATTTCATGTTTGGTTTCCTGACACAATTTTAATGATTCCTACCAGTCAATGAGTCTTACCCTTTCAAAAAACATGCAAAATTTTAGTGTTACTTTTAGCAAAAGCATTTTCCCATACGCTCATTATTCGAAATGTTCATATTTCAGGGGGAAACTTAATGAGTCTTCTTGGAGACTACAGTGAGCGACCTGACACTCGAGCAACCTTGAAAGTTGCAGAGATTCTCCCAGGTGGCAGCACTAGAGAGGTTACATATGCTAGTCTTGACAATAAAACAAAAGAGTCCGTCATTACAGATCTTCTTGTTAAAAGTGCGCTCAACCATGCCATGAAAAAACAACAGGTTAGTGTGTCTCTGTTATAATCAAACTTGAATCAAATGTCCAGAGATTCAAGCCATCTTTTAAAGGATTTGTGACGCTTGCAAGTGAAAAGGACTTTAATTCAAACGTTTTTATTCAGACTATTTCTCTTTTGTCTCAGTTAATTGGTGAATGAGATACAATATTCAAAGTTTAAGAGATGCCAGTAATTCTTTGATGGACCATAAATATGGATTTACTATTTGCTAATAAAAACTAAAACCATTGACATTTTTTATCAATTTTGATGTTATTTGATTTATTTTCCAGCAAATATTCGAAGAAGGTCTGTCTAGGGTGGCTGAAAGTAACTTCAACTCGGGGCAGAATAATCCTGATATGTCGGATAACACAAGGGATCAGTTATTCTCCCCTCTTCCTAAGTTCAGCATGCAAGAGGCTGTCAAGGTAGGGCTGTTTGTTTGTTTGTTTGTATTGTATGTTTGTTTGTTTGTCAATGTGTGTCTATTTGCAAGGGTTTTGTTGTTTCTTTTGTCAAGGTGTTTTTGTTGTTTTTTTGTCTGTCGAATCAAGGTACATCTGATTGCTTGTTTGTTGATTGTTTGTTTTGTCTTTTTCTAACAAGAGCAGACTGTAGAATATTTTATGTTTACTTCTTTTTAAGCCACTCTATATTTAGTCTTAAATCTGAAGCTGAGGCATTTGTATTTGATGCTCTATTGTTAAACCAGTCATATAGATGGCAGCTGAGTATTAGAGAGAAGCATGCTAGATGTTAGGAGGGGGGGGGGTTATCACTAGTTGGACATCTTGAGACATACCAAGCATTTCACATTGACTTTTTCATACTCATACAAGAAAGTTTAAAATCACACTTAGCAACATTTGAAAACTAATACATTAATATTATATTATATTATTGTATTGACCTATGTACCACTTTAAATGTTTACAGTTTATCATGTTTATTGTAAATTTAATTATGGGCAGTTATACACCCCCTGGGGTGTCATAGCCTGTATAATGTTGTAATTTTTGTAATGAAAACTGAAATAAATTATTTTGAAATTGATTGAATTGAATCAATAGGCTTCTGAAATAAAGTACAAAGAAAGTACAATGTAATGAAATCTCTGGTCTTGGTTGTTTAACAGTGATATATTGCTTTCATTAGGACCTTGTTGAATTTCTCCAATAACGTTTTTCTTTCTCTGATCTTCGTATTCATCTTGATTAAGACAAGTTGTTAGTTGTAAAACATTCCTTGTAAGAATGAGTATATTTGCTCTACAAAGCTGTATAACAAATTGAATCAAATATAGATCAGCATTATTTTCCTCAGGCATTTTCTATATTGAACAATAAACATACATCATCAAAATTTGAAATTGACCTGCTGAATAGGATAGTTTCTAAATAGCAGAAAAATCAATGAAATCTAGTGCTGCCATCTTTTATTTGGCTTTTAACTTGGGCTAGATTTCCATTCACTTACATGCTAAAATCTTGGAAAAGTTGCTTAATTTCATGATTTATCAAAGTGTGTTAGTTGAATCTGTATAAAACTTGAATCATACACCACATGATGACCCTATTTATGTACATGTTATGATTAAACATGCAAATGTTGATTGACATACAAATAACCCACGTTTTTAAAGAATTTTAGCATTGCATCTATGGACATTTGGCCCAAGTTCTTTTAAATTGTCATAGAAAATTATTCAAATAACATAACTGTGTAAATCAAAGCTATTATAGGAGAAAACATTTCACTGAATTCAAATATGCCATTTAAAAGCTGGTAATGTAAGTCATTAGAGGTCTAATATGCAAGTCTCTTAAAATCTCACGAAAAACAAGATTTAGCAAGATTTCAAAAGCTATATGGAAACTATACTATTGATAAGTCATTCTTTTAAATTTTTAGGTCAACTCATAGGTCTGAAAATTAAAAAATGTGAAAAGAGCCATACTACATTTTGGATCAGATTTAGATCTGTATTGAAAAGTTCATGTGAAAAAGTCATTCATTTTCTTAGCATCATCTTAAAGATTATGTCAAAACAGAACATTTAAATAGTACTTGTATTTTTGCAATTTCATGATCAATTTGAGAGACAGGCATTAATCCCTATCAGCTATTTCCACAATATTTATCACTGTTTTATTCAATATTTATCACTATTTATTCAATAAATATCACTATTTATTCTGCTCAATGAGGTATTGTTCTTAAATTGGCATTTATCTCAGATAACATTGCTGAGGTTATGAAATGTCCAAGAGCTGTCTTAATATTTACATTGTTTATCTCTAAATTCATTATTAGACCAACTTGAAATTCTTATCAGGCACACACTACCCTTTGCATTCGTTTGACTTCACTTCTTAAAAGAGAGCTTCGTCTTCACTCTTTCAAACTAAAATAAACCTGTGAACTCACCGCGCCAATCAGTGTTCGTCGGCCAAAATTGACCGACGTTCTATATATGGTCATTCCTTCTGACGTCATCGTTGAGCCCGGAATTGACCAATGACATGCGCATATCTAATTAGAACGCATTTGGCGTGTGTTTCTTCAAGCTCGCTGATTGGTGGAAGAAAGGTCAGCGCCTAGGTCAAAAGTTATTTATTACGCAAACTGTCACCGGTACCCGTCGTGGGGGCGGGGCTACTAAACTGTAATATGGTCTCTACTAGGCAGAGTGTAGTTTAACTAGACTCTGCACGCAGGGTAGGCACACACTGGCTTTGATGCATACTCGTTTCCCAGTTTGATTTTCAATCATGAAAACATCATACCTTGGAAATACAAGATGGGCTTTGATGAGTCAGTCTCCCATTCTTGATAGTTCATCCATTTTTGTTCAATATGTTTAGGTTATTTGTTGATTGTTATGATTTCCAAGTTTTTTTTGTGGACATTGTTGGTGTTCAGCGTTCGACAGTTGGATTCTGTAACAAATGGCAGGTGATGACATTTTACATGTTAATGCCTTGTATTTGTAATCAATTTAATGTTCAAGCTATTATGTATGGCAGTGTCAATGTCTTCTCAAAATCAATTTAAAGATTTGTTTTTATTCTTAGAAGGGATTATCATGAAATTATTGATTAGCAATAAAAATGACTAAGGGGTGATGCTTCATGAAATTAAACAATAAGCGTTAGTTGAAAAAGATTCACTTGCATAAGTGAACGCATGTCAACATTATTAGGCCAGAAAAGTAAAATATTTAGTATTTCCATGGGCTTTCAATTAGACTATTGTAAAGTTACATCTTCTGTAAAGTTAAATGTATTGTTTAGTTTCATATATTGTAAACTAATATATAGTTTATTGTAAACTTTTAGGTAATAAAAATTAAGTACATGCAACATTCTAGAAAAAGTCCTCATATTCACTAAAGAATAAAGTTAAATAAGTTGTAATCTCCTTCTACTTTAAGAAAATAATACTAGCCATTTTTGGTAAGGCACCTCGTACCATGGCATACAATTTATCAAAGTAGCCCCTATTAGTACAATTGTACACTTCTGACAGAGTACCAACTGTAATTAAATATGTTAAACATCAAAGAGTGAGCCAATTAATTTTCTTGTGGATTACCAATCAATAATACAAAAGGAGTTCTATTAAAAGTTACATTACCATTATATACATAAACATGCCCTTGTACCAAAATGAACAGTTATTTTAATTTCTAGAAATGCCGAGCAGAAAAAGTAAACTCCTAAAAATTAAAATACATGCAACAGCTCAACATTATAAAATGCAGATTGTATAAAATGTAAGAATATCACATATTCTATTAAATTAAAAAAGGAAGTTCAGCCTGACCAACTTATCACTGTATGAAGGGGTCCTTCTCATGTTTCTTTAAAACATGCAACTTTGAAAGAATAGATACAATAACAAATAAAAGCACTACAGAGCATGAGAATTTCAATTAAACTTGGAAAGGAAAACATGATGTGTTGAATAAAGTACTTGATACAAATATAGAAATGATACCTCGCTTAGTTACAGTTGAATATATGTGAATGCAACAGTAACACTTTATGGAGACGTTTAGAATCATGAGAAGGAAGAATTCTGAAGGAATAAGACTTAACAATGGATTGGAAAATGAACTAGAAAATGGGAAGAGTATAAAAATAGACAATGGGCAATGTTTATTTATCATGGCATTGACTGAGTTTATAATTGGAAGGGATGACAAGTTTTCTAAAAGAGGAATTTTCATGCGAAGCAAGCAGTTGAAAGAGCAGAATTTAAAACATGAAATTCAAGACAAGATCTGACAAATAGATCTTCATTATATTACTGACATCTAAAAGTGACTTGACTAATAATCAGTTTTTTTATTGAGAAAAGATTAATGGAGTGCTCGTTGTTGATATAAAAAGTTAATACAGTTGATATCTTATTAATGGTGATTTTCACGATATGCTCTATGAGGCATCAACGGATTCAATTTATCAACTTAGAAACTGTGTTTGGTGAACACATTTCCGAACAGCTAAATACATTCTACTCACAGATGATCAGTTTTTCTGGGGTGTTGTGGCCTGTAATATTATTTCTTTATTTATATGGTGAAATCGACAGCTCTTGTTGTTTCTATAAGTATGATTTTTACATTCTTTGCATTAGTTTGAATACACATCTTAAAAGAGAGCTTCATCACACTAAGCTCTCTGTACAAAACAGAAATTTTACTTCAGTAGATTTTCTCGTAATATATCCCCCCTAATACATGGCTCCAGCTATCATTCACTCTGTTCGATCAGGAGGAAGGAAGGAAGCAAGGGATAATGTATTGATCACTGCATTTGGAGGTTGCTATCATAGTTTTTTGTGAGAGTAAACTTATAGCAGTTTTTCATAAAATATGAATTTAATTCATTGTAGAGTCGCCACTTTATTTTATTCAGTCACATTATATTACAAAGAGATTCAGAGGCTTGGTACATTGGAGGAAGCTGTCTGTTTAAAGAAGCAAAATTACACTTTTTTGCAAGGGTGCTGTTTTATATAGGTCTGTTATATTGCCTTAAGATGCATGATTTTAAAAATGGAAAATCTGAAACTGAGGAAAGAATCAATTGTCGACTCTGTTTACAGTTACCGGACAACCACATGTTATAGACCATATAAATCAATCATGCCTTAAACAATAAGTTTAAGAAGAATTGACTTCCACAAATTAATAGAAGTTGGATTATTTTATACATGAATTACAGAAAGATGCAGTTAGATTTATATAAAAATTATATCTGAAGAGCACATACACTAATGAAATAACACGATATTAATTTGAGTGGATTTAATTTATACCCAAACAATGTTTGAAGTATGAAAATACAGGCAGCTTGTGGAATTCATTTTAAGACAATCAAAGAAAATTATAAAGCGGGGTTGAATAATTATGAATACCTTGCATTTAAAGAAGCAAATGCTGATTGTTGAAGACCAATTAATACAAATAAGGAATCACCTCTTGAAAATTGGAATGTGCCTCTTTAAGTCTGATACCAAGTGGTGAGATATGAGAACGGGGGAATTAGCCGACTTAGTAGACTTCAGACTGGTGATTGATGTAAGGGATTTACTTAGGTTATCACAGCTCTTTGTGCAATGCAGATATCAACAGTATTAATTGACAATGGCGGGATCGTAACAATACAATTTATAGCACAATAAAAATCTCTTGAGGAGAGAACTACCGATTTTAATCACTTTTATTACCCATTTTCATTATGTAATGGCTCCGCAGAGGAAGCGCTACAAAAATCCTATTAGTTTTATTGAAGATGTGGGAATGGCAGCGATTGAATAACTCGCATGATTACGATTAATGTTATGATTGGAAGCTTACATGGTGATGATAGAATACCACAGGTGCTATTAATATATCTAAGTGGATAAAACACAATGAATGAGTGTTTTCAAGTCAAATCTCTGTTATAAACTTATGGATATGACTTTTAAGAAAATTACAAGGATAAAATATAAACTATGGTTTAATTGATATATACCAAGGAATTAATTGAATTTACAATGGAGTGATTAGTCAGAATTTCGTAGATCTACAGTATACATTAGAAAACAACCTAGAGAGACTGAATATAAAAAACTTTTGATTTGATCAGCGGTTAATTTGGAATATCTTTTTAACAATGAAGAAAAAGATGACCATATCAGAAATGAGGGATTTTTTCCTGAAAATCCAGGAGAATAGGAATTTTATCAGGACCAACAAAAGAAAACAAGTAAAGCGGGTCTATTTCTTGGATTGTTTAAACATAAAGGTATTGTTGAATTTAATTAATTTGAGTAGAAAATGACATTTATTTTCAGATTTGATTTGTATATGTACAAGGTGTTTTTGTTTCAGATTTTTATTTTAAAATTTTGGTTATTGATTGTTAATGACAGTTTACATAGAATATAGAGAAGAATTGGTTTCATTTATTTTCTCTGTTGAGTCAGACCTTTAAGTTAAAAAGGAACAATCTTAAGGATGTAGTGAGGTATGTTAATATATGTTGTTTTTATGTCTTTGTACAGTATGTTACAGCTTGGGGCAATCTGGTTGGAAAACAATGTTTTTTGTATTGATTTCTTAGAATTGTGAGTAGAAATCTAAAGGAATGTTGAAAACTGTTATTGAGTTGGAAACAACTTTGGCCACCTTAAGTTAGCAATTGATAGTTCAACAATGATATGAAATTCAGACCTCTCTCACAGTATTCACAAATTGTGCTTTTACAAATATAATTCCTAATATGTATGTCCACTATTCTACATATTAAGTGATTTTAACATTTTCTTGTGATTTCAGTAATGTATGAAACTCCAACATCACATATAAGATTGATGCTTAATATGATTATTTGTGATTCTTGTGATTTTAGTCATTGTTTGAGACACCAATTAATCACAAGTACAAGTGATGCTCATGATTTTGTGATTCTTGTGATTTTAGTCATTGTTGGAGACACCAATATATCATATTTACAAGTGATGCTCATGATTTTGTGATTCTTGTGATTTTAGTCATTGTTTGAGACACCAATATATCATATTTACAAGCAATGTTCATGATTTTGTGATTCTATTGATTTTAGTCATTGTTTGAGACACCAATATATCACATTTACAAGTGATGCTCGTGATTTTGTGATTCTTTTGATTTTAGTCATTGTTTGATACACCAATATATCACATTTACAAGTGATAATCATGATTTTGTGATTCTTTTAATTTTAGTCATTGTTTGATACACCAATATATCACATTTACAAGTGATAATCATGATTTTGTGATTCTTTTGATTTTAGTCATTGTTTGATACACCAACTGAGAAGTACGATGGACCAGAACCTTCAAAGAAAATGAAAGGGAAGAAGATTCCACCGCATTCTGCCAAGTCACACGAAGGTACAGAATTCTTTTCTCAATATTTTTTAGAAATGTTTATTGGGTTAATGGGTATTAGTTTTTAGCCCACCCTGTATATATTTTACATTTAGTACGTTTTATGGCATTATACAGATACTGGTGGTTTTTGAAATACAAATTATATGACATTTTAAATATCTATAGTATTCAAACTTTTGAAGGCTTATCATATTCTTCTGAAATTCTTGCACCACCGTTAGAATAAAAATTAATATTTTATTTTATGACGATTGTCTAGATTATTGATGCTATTTGTGGAAATTGAAAGTCATACAAAATGACATTTATCAACTGTGTTGGCCATTGATTATAACAAAGTAATTTAACATTGAAGTCAATGTGTGCCTTGAACTTGACTTGTGATTAATGAACTCTTATAACTTAAGAAAATGTCATTTATTGCATTTTTAATTCTCTATTCACACATTTGGAGAGTTATTTGATAAATGTAAGTATAAAATAAAACACTTCCATATTTTCTTTTTTCTTTGAGGCTTTGGTTCTAATAAAGGCTTTCTGGGAAACTTTTTTCAAACTTTTAATAAAAGTAATGGTCGCAATATTTTTATGTGTTTTACTCTTATATTAAGGTCTGTACTCACATAAGAAAAGCTTCTATTTTGCTTTTATTAAGACTATTATATTCATCTTGAATTGAAATTTAGATCATTCATTGAGTTCTAATTTGCTCTTCTGATATTTAGCTTGTTTTAATAGATTGTTTAGCCTGACTATTACAGACTTTGGATCCCAAAATGATTACGATTGCTTGTATCCCTCCGTACACTCAATTTCAATATAAAAAGATAGAGGAGAAAAGGTTTTGAAGGAGAAATTATGCAGAATATAATAAGTGGATTTTAAGCAAATGTCATGTCATCACTTTGTATTGATTGTCAGCTATTTCCTCACATAGGCTCTCAATGTATGCTTCAGTGCCAGTCTTCATTATCCAAACTTTGTATTCAGTGCCACAAAAGGAATCTGTTGAATATATTCCTAAACAGGACTTAGTACATTGGAATATAATGTCAGTTAAGTTCCATTTGTTTAGCCCTTTCTCTCTCTGTTTTTATTGTTGTTAGTATGTAAGGAGAAAGAGATAGAGGGAGAGATTTAGAGAGAAAGTGGAAGTTGGAGAGGGTGAGGAAGAGAATGAGAAAGATAAGGGAGGGAAAGAACATGATGTACTCCAACTTTAGGATTTCTAAAATGTATTTTTAAAAAAAATCTCCTGTTTTACAAAATAAGCTTTTCTGTGGCAGCCTGGTTTATTTATTCGCTTAAATTACTATTTTGATCTATATTAAGTTATCTCTTTATCTATTGTTTACTTTTTATACCAAATTAAAGGTATTTATAGGTCTTATTCTCTCTGAGATGATATTTTATTTGCAATAACTGCAAAACGGGGTTTCTTAAAACACATACTCTGCTCTGTATAAACAACAGTACAATATAAACAGATATGTTAAATGTTATAATTAAAAGGTTTAAATTATTTATTAACCAATTATCATTGCGTATATTCTTTTTCAATAGAGTAATTGTAAATATGACATCATGCCATTGCATATAAATGTGACCATGAAATGGTTATATAATATTGATGAATAAGCAATTACAAATTGGTTTCTATTTACACATGGTATAATATCTTACAAATGGTAGTTGCAAGATTCATGAGGTATTAAATTAATTGCTTTTGTTCTATACACAGGGCTCATGTCAAAACATTGAAGTTTGCAAAAATATAATCAATGACATGCAATGTGATTAGAGGCAGAAGTCCATTTTGATTTATTTCACGATTGATTTTAGGTATTTCCTGAGTTTTTTTATAAAAATACATTTTGATATCATTTTTAGGAGTAAAAGTGTGAATGATTATTTTTGACAGACTTCACAATTTTGACTTGACCCCTGTTATGTTGTTATAATTGATGTAGATTTACTTTTTGGTAATGGGTCTTTCATCTGCTTTTACGTTGCATCAATGGGGTGGGAATCACCTATTATGTTGATGCTCACTATTTACTTGTATCTGTGTATTTACTTAAAGATTTACTTGTACGAGGGGTGATCAATAAGTAATGGACGCTTTTTTACACAGATACTTTTTATTGACCAATCCCTTTGATTTTCCTACCAGTGATACATCATTCAATTATCTATCAATTCTGAAGATTTGAAGAAAAAATATGTGATACATGTTGATATATCCTTATTTTTGGAAGGAGGTACAGGTACCCCGGGACCGACATTTACGTCACATATTCAGTTTTTAGCCAGTTTGGTAAATTTGAGTTAGATTTGAACTTTTTATATGCAACAAGTGTTGTATTGTTTGAAATTTTTTGCTGACTGGTAACACATAAACAGAAAGTATTGTAATGTCAGAGTGTTGTATGGAAGGGGTTTGCAGGTCAATTTGAGAAAGCATTGTGGAAGAAAGGGGTGGTGAGAGAAGGGAACACCCTACTCCATATGGACAATGCACCTGCCCACAGATCTCAGAATGTTCACTAAACAATATCCCTCGACCTCAAAATTGAGCCATTGGCCAGTGCACTATATTGTCCACATCTGCTCACATGTGACTTGTTTATTTCTACTACTTATTTCTATAGAGAAAGGATACAGGTTTATTAACATTGATTAAATAAAACAACCCGTGCAACTGCATCTTGCTACCATGTCAGAGAATCACAATCTTGAGTTAAGAGGATGAGGAATTGTGTAGATGTAGCACTTGAAAGAACTTATTTAGAGGGCCCTGTGGAATGAATGTGGCATGAATACCACATAGTGATTATAAAATATTCAAAAGCAACTATGGCATAACAAAATGGGGTAATTCATGACCAAAATGGTTTGTTTTGTTCAGCCTGCATTCAACTGCATTGCATGTTGAACAAGCTAAAATAGCTTCAGAATATGTGACGTAAATGTCGGTCCCGGGGTACCTGTACATCCTTCATTGAAATGAGGATATATCAACATGTATTATATATTTTGTCTCCAAATCTTCAGAGTTGATAGATAATTGAATGATGTATCACTGGTAAGAAAATCGAAGGGATTGGTCTATAAAAAGCATCTGTGTAAAAAAGCGTCCATTACTTATTGATCACCCCTCGTATCTTAAATACTTGAAAAGCTTATATCTCATTTACCCTGGTATTACTTGTATCTTAGATACTCGGAGATTTACTTCCTTTTTATCTAGAGCGCAAATCTTGGCAGACATTAGGTGCCCATAATAAAAACATGTTGTTGGTTACCTTGTGGGTAAATAATGTGCACCAATAAGCATATATTATTTAAACATACATGTTTATACAAATGCCTCTTTTAGCTATATTCTGATTTCTGCTACCTTTGTACTTTGCAATGCATTACTCCTGGGCTATATTAGTCAACATCTTTGGGACCTGGGGGTATACAATTTGATCAGTAAACCTAATTGGTTGTTTATGTTTACTGAATAGTAGTGTAGTTTTGTACTTATTTTATATGTGATTTGTAATTATGATATGCTTTGTCTTCAGTTAAATGTAAATTGTTGTATGTTTAAGTCATTTTGTACTGTCTACTTCAACTAAACCCCAATCCGTCAAAAATATGAAAATATGTGCTATAATTGACGTACTCTTCATTTCAGCTCATGGGAAAGAATGGCCTCAAACCGGGGATAAAGAATACATGGGTAACATACCTATAGCTTCTTTAAAAGATACATCCAGTAACAGCTCCAGGAGATCTAGTGTCGATAACAAGTTCTCGGCACTCTCTCCTGAGCTATCCATGATTCCTGATTTAGATGAGAAAATGGTGTCCAGAGAAGGGCATTTTCCAGTGCTGCCACCTATTGCTCAAGCGAAGATCAGTAATGTTCAATTTGGGGTTGGAACAAAACGTAAGAAAAAACTTTTAAATTTAGAATCTACAGGTTTTGAAAATGAGGAAAATATAAACTGACTCTTCAATTTTAAATAGACCTTTCAGATATTCTTTGAAATCGATTATAAAGAGATTTCATGTCTTAATGCAGTATGAGATCATCCTGATCGACTTCATGAACAAGGAAATAATTAGAAAAAGAATGGTCATTCAAACTATATAGGGTTATACCTGACTTGTTCAAGCAATTTCAATATTTTCAGCTCTACCTGAAGTCGAGGTGGAACCCCCAACCCCCCAGAACTCTTCAATGGGATTCTCTAATAAGCCAGGGGGACCCACCAGGGACAACACATTTGCTCTGATGAGGGACAAAACAATGGCTTTGTCAGAATCACCAGGTATAAGCTTTACTTAACAATATACAATGCAACAGAGATTAGATGAAAAAATTATATTTATGTTTCTTTATCTTAGCCTTACGTGATCAAGGAAACATGAAAATATGACTCACCTGTTTCTACAATGAGTGATTGCAAATTAGAGACACAACACTTGATCAATACAAAATGGAAACCTTTTTTTCCATGCATTTTTAAATGTTTCTACAAATTATAAGAAATGATCTCTCACATATCTCTCCATTTATGATACATGTTTTACCTTTCCCAGATGAGGAAGAAGTTGTATGGGGTGGAGCTAAATACGATGAGGCAGCCATCTTGAAAAAAGCAGAGGAGGATGCGATGCGGCAACAGCAGCAAGTGCCAGAGAAGGTTTCCATTTACAGTTTTAATGACAGGGTCAAAGGTCAGTCAATCTTCATTGAGTTCAATTCAAGATTTGTATTTGATTTAGGTTTGTGAAAAAGATTTTGATACACTTTTTGTGCAGAATATTCATCTGACATCAATATTTATTCAGGTGAATTTGCAATTGCATGTTTTTTATTCTGACTCAGACCATCTCCTCCATAAAAATATGCCTGAGACATGTTTGTGGTATGTGTGTTACATGTTTATAGTTTGTTAAATAAACTCGATGCTTAATTTAGGTGTTTTGAAAAATCTATAAACCTTCAAACTCTTATTTCAGATTTGGGCAGTAGTACGGGGGATTTGTCAATAGGTGGGCCTAGTGGTATGCATGACTTGGACCCATTGCCCAATCAAAAACTGAAGACCCACAATACTGGCTGGAGAGGAAGTAACAAGTCTTTGAATAAATCAAAAGGTACTTTCAACATATTGTAAGCCACGTGTACAGTAAAACCTTTCTTTGCAATCAAACACCTCTCTAATCTGAACACCTCTCAATGTGAACACTTTTCATGGTTCCAATTTTGTATATCCAATTGATTCACATATTAAAAGAACTAAGATTCGAACACCTGCTAATCCAAACACTTTTGACTGATCCCATGATTGAGTGTAGGTATTTCTGTCGTGAATTCATATAGCGGCATTCATACAAGATGGGTTTTACTGTACTTTACTGCATGTATGTCATATTTCATTTAGAATTTATAGTTGTTAGCTTGATTTCAGACTTGTAAATTTCAGTAAGTCAATGATTTGATATTAGGTAGAATTGCATGATTAATTGTATATTCTTGTGAAGTTAAACCCCTTTATCCTGTTTCATTTTCAATGTTGTATGATGAATGTTTTTAAGAGTAGATTTTATTCATTTAGTTTCATTATATAAAACTTGTGGTTGTCCAGTGTTGTATATTGTGTATATAGCACTTATAGCTACTATCCTCATTTAAATTCTCCCACATATTTTGAGTACAGATTATTTTGCATGTATGCATGTCCTATATCTTGTATAAGATGTCAGTGCTGCATGGTATCATATTCCAGATGCAGGTTCTGTAAAAGGTAGCATAGTTCTCGGGCCTGGGGGTGAAGCGATTGATATAGGGGGTCACGTTGCATCCCCTCTCAATGCCAGCGATTCTGTGTTATCGGCTGTGAGACAGGCTAACAAACTTGGTAAGAAAACTATGGATACTGAGTGAATACACACATGCCAAATAAAAAAAGAGCTTAATGTTTAGCTTAAACGTCCATTGCTTTAGTAGTTGACCATATATGGGCATACATGTATCTTAGTTGCAAAGCTTGCTTAAGTTTGCTTTATCAGTTTTTTGTAGTGATATTTTCATTTGACCTATTAGTCTTGAAATAAAATTTTTACAGAAACGGATCTGTTTCGGAATTTTGAAGCGTGCAGTACCAGTGTTAATGTGGGTTATGAAGAAATAACACCACATCAATTAGTCATCCATAGCATTCAGTCAGATCCGTCATGCTATGTATACGAGTTATGGTCAAACTGAACGAGGGAGTCAAGAACTGAACTCTGATTTAAAGTGATTTAAACATCAACCCATTGGGCACTTTTACTTTAAGACACAGAAAGTGAGTCTGACGATCAGCCAGACTGGAATGTGATGGTGACAAAGGTGGAGAAACAGGTGGAACAAGTAACAACAGCACCTGCTGCAGTTGTCAGATCAAGGAAGAGCTCTCTGGCCAAATCTGGAGGTGAACAGAATACAGAATGAATAGATTAATTGCGTTACAGTTCCAGGAATATTATCAAAATTCTTGTATACTTATAATTCAATACAACGCCAGCTGAAATTCTGCTTTTTGCTTCATATTTTAATTTTGCTTATAGCAGTAAATTCCTAATTATGCTTTTACTTAATTTCAATTTTATATTGGTTTTTTTCGTTATTTTAAATCTCTATGCTTTCATTTATTATACATTTCGGAGTTATATTTTTAGTTCTGAGGCAGATAGAAAGATGTCCCTCAAAAATGAAGTAATTTGCTACTTTGATATTGACTCAGGTGACATCTATCTGTCTATCTCAAAAATTATGCTTACTTTATATTGAACAGTAAAATCTGTCAGATGTTAACACCAGTAAGGCTAGAATGTTCTAACTTTCAAAATCCAACATTTTGAATGTTATAACATCCAGAGAAAGTTCTAAAAATACTGCAAAGGTATTCAACTTGGGTGTGGCATAGGCACTGGACCATTGCTACACTGCATTTCTACACAGCAGAACTGCACTATTTTGTTTTGCTACTCTACATTACTGCAAATCAGCATCATTACTAGGCTGTTGATCTAAAATCCTTATATCCCATCCTGGTGCATATCAAAACAGATTTTACTGTATATCATCTCTTGCATGCTTGTTTCTTAACTCATTCTATTGCCATCAGGTCCAAGAGCAAAGACCATGCCTGAGACCCAGAACATTGTCTCAGTACCCAGTTGGAGAAATGATGATGATGACTCACCCAGCCTCCAGTCTGTTGAGATAGAGGTCGGCTTTGATAGGGCCTCCTCACCTTACTCAGGTTGATATTTATTAAGTACTCTATAGGGCTCAAGGGGGTCTTTCAGGGTATATGTTTGGGGACATTTTTGAGTGGGAATGTAGAAGAGTCTTATGAAAACATAAGGCGCAATAAGAAAACTTTTTGAGTTCCTGCACCTCAGCTTTTTAGGTTCTTAATCATAAATTAGCAGAGATTTATAGTAAAATTCGGTTCAAAAGAAAAGCAATTTTGGGCTCATATTTGTTATACCTTATTGACTTATCTTTATAGACCTCTCTAAGGTTTCTGCCATAGTTCTTTGCATTTTATTAAGGATTTTGTAGATGGACTGAGTTTTTCAGATTCTGTCATTTTGATGTTTTACTTCTGTAGTTAAAGTCTTGATTTCTATTAGTCATAGCATGTTGACTCATATCTTTATTGTGTTTGCTTTTAGCGCAACTATATAGTTACTATAGTATTCATGAATGATCTATAGATTAAGTTTAATTTCTATTAGTCATAGTAGTACAATAGTCATAGCATATATAGTCATTGCAATAGTCATAACATATATAGTCATTGCAACAGTCCTAGCATATATAGTCATTGCAGTAGTCATAGCGTATATAGTCATTGCATGAATTAGCAACTTGAGTCATATCTTGATTAATGTGTTTGCTTTTAGAACTATTACAAGTTGAAATGAGGTCCTTGCCTCACTCAAACACGCCACATTCTCCAAAATGGTTTGCTAAGCATAACGCATACCATCATAAGCTTTGTGAGTCAAATTGTCAAATGTCCTAACAGGTGCTCCAGTGATCCCCCAGACATTGTTGTGTCATTTTTAAATCTAAATATTCTTCAACTGTAGAACAAAACCATTTATTATGCTTATTTGGAATTCTCTCAAAAGTTTAGTATTTAATTCTACTTGAAGTATTGGATTTCAATAACTGCTTAACTGCCCACCCTCCCTTGTTAACAAAACAGGGATCAATTTGTTTTAATCACCACATTAAATCTTGTCATCAAAAGGCCACATATCCATTCAACTTTAGATTTCAGATGCAAGAGCAGACTTGTTGTTCCAATAGGAAAAAAATTGATTTAAGTTGATCAAAAACACAAAAAAATCCATCAACAAAAAGAAACCATTTACACATCCCGCTACATGTAGAATAAAATACAAAACATGTATGGGAGAGAGAGTTTCAGAAATATTGATCTTGACAATTGCATTTGAAGGATGTTTTTACAATAATCCCATTTTAGATGTATGTTTACCCTCTCTTTTACTATATACCTGCTCGACTAATGACTATATGTGTTTGACTATGTAATCTTTTACTATATACCTGCTTGACTATGTACTATACAATGTATGTATTTGACTATGCCATATTTGCATTTTGACTTTTCCCCTCTATCTCATTTCAGTTAGTGGTCCCTTGATATATTTAATATAAAATATCTGCATATTATTTATTATAAGTACAGTATTTGAATCATTTGATGGTTGAACCAGCACATCAATATGTATCATCAAATATTGAAAGATTCAAGCATCCTTTTATATTTGACATTTACATAAAATGTTTTAATGATGTACTGTATACCACTACACTGCATATCAAGGGATCCCTAACTCACAACTGCTCCAACTGTCTAAATGCTAATTGAAATGTATCCTGCTAATTAAGATTTATTTTTAATCCTTTAATTACATTAACGTTTATCTCTTTGTTACAAACTTAACATTTTTTACAAGATTATTATCCCAGTTCATTTCATTAGCATTGGGAGTAAGTCACCTCTCCCTCTTATACTCTGTTGCCTGTATTAGATATTTTGCTTTAGAGAATATTAGAGGGGGGGGACTTTTCCCTGGGATTTCGAGCTATGTCCGCTTTGCTTTAAATGATATGTTGCCAACTTGTAGCTGCCAAGCTTTCCTCAGGGAATGAGGCGTCCAGTGGGGAAGAGACAGATATGGGAGGGGCTGTCACTGCAGCTATTGTCACCCGCAAGCCATCAATGGTGCCACCTGAGTCTGTATCGAGAGTATCACAGATACAGAAACCATTGAAAGAGAAATCAATGGAGAAGCCACAGAAAGAATTACAGAAAGAAAAGTCGAAGGAGATGACGATACAGAAGGAGAAATCCAAAATGAAAATCAAAGAGAAATCAAGAACACCAAAAGAACAAATCAAACCTAACACCCCACAATCCATTAAACCTAAAACTCCAGCTATTGAAGTTGATGGCTATGAAGCGGAAACAGAGGAACTTGCTCCTCCACCTCCTTCATCTTTAGCGCCATCTAATTTGGATCGTGCCTCAATTCATTCAAAGAGTCCTCATTTGAAACCCACCTCAAGCAGACTACCTACAAGATCCAAATCACGCACACCCAAAGTCAAAACACCCCAAGGATTCAAAGATGATGTTGATGATTATTTTGAAAATGATATTGATGATGAATTCCCCACTTCTAGAGGTACAATGTGTGGCCTATCTGGATTGTGATTTGGATTGAAAACAATTGTGATTTCAGATTGAACACAAATGTGATTATGGATTGAACAAAATTGTAATTGTGAATTGAACACAATTGTGATTTTGAATTGAATACAATTGTAATTGTGGATTGAGCACAATTGTGATTTTGAATTGAACAAAATTGTAATTGCGGATTGAGCACAATTGTGATTTTGAATTGGATACAATTGTGATGTGGATTGAGCACAATTGTGATTTGAATTAGATACAATTGTGATGTGGATTGAGCACAATTGTGATTTGAATTAGATACAATTGTGATGTGGATTGAGCACAATTGTGATTTTGAATTAGATACAATTGTGATGTGGATTGAGCGCAATTGTGATTTTGAATTAGATACAATTGTGATGTGGATTGAGCACAATTGTGATTTTGAATTAGATACAATTGTGATGTGGATTGAGCACAATTGTGATTTTGAATTAAATACAATTGTGATGTGGATTGAGCACAATTGTGATTTTGAATTGAATACAATTGTGATGTGGATTGAGCGCAATTGTGATTTTGAATTGAATACAATTGTGATGTGGATTGAGCGCAATTGTGATTTAAGGCTTTGACTCAATTGTCGTTAATGATTGAACACAATCGTAATTTTGCATTGATCACAATTGTGATTGCGGATTTGACACAGTTGCTATTGTGGATATAACACAATCATAATTTGTAGATGCAAAATTATTGTAATTGTATGTTGACAATGATTGTGGATTAGACAGACTTTTGATTGTGGACTAATGACTTTTTTATTGCAGCAATTAATATATGAAGATTGAACAAATGATTTAAATGATACATTTGTGAGACACCAATGCACAAGATGTGAATGATATGCCATGAACTGCACCAAATTCACTGATATTGCTTGAGAGTGATTTGAAGTTGACTTTGGAGAAGTAGATGATTTGGCCTCAAATGCCCCTTCCAAATCCTTGTTCGTAGCACTACCTTTGCCTCTTAGATTTCTGCCTTTGTTTTTGTTGATTGTGTGCTCTTGTGACTGTGTACTGTTTAATGATATTTTGTCTTCTGGGTGGCTAATTTGTGTGTCATATCTAGATTCTTTACATAAATATAGACATCCTATTTAACATTATTGTTTTCTTTGTTTTACAGGTATATGATAATATGCGTTTTAGGATTATGGATTTGAAATGTAGATATGTAAATAACTTGAAATTTTTAAAACAAATTTAAAAATGCTATTAAAGAACATAAATGTAACTTCAACATACCATTCTGCATGAACCCTGAGGAAAGAAATTTAAGGAATTCATTGTTTATAAAATTAATTTCTCCTCCTTGTTTTGCTTTTTAATTTGGCATATGATGCTTTATTGCAAAAATCAAAAGATGTGTGTAAGTATTTATGGAAAAAAATCTGTATAAAAATGAATAAAAATTGTTCATTGTTTTACCAATAGTTGGGTCTGAGGCTGCATCAGAGTCTCAACTGGGAGTCAGTCAGGGCAAAGTGTCCACCATATCAGAAAAGGTAGTTCTTGAGAGGATCAGACATAGTGCAAAGAAGATAGCTGAAGATGTAGTCAGTAAAGGAGGCAAGAATCTGGAAAAGGATGCTTTGGTTAGTACCTCTGTGGTGATAAATGAAAAGTAAAGAACAGTGTAAAAGTAATCTATTTTGTAATTGTTTCCTCCTTTCAAAATACTATAGTCTGTACACTATCAAAAAATCATTGTGTAAGTCTTCATAACATCGTTGTCAGTAGTGTGTTAATCATAATTAAGTTTAAGATATTGTAACCAAATTCCTATTACCAGGTTTTCGTTTCCAGATTCCTCTTATTGTGTTCACTGTTATTTCATATGTTGTATGGTATTGTATTCTTGATATTGTATTTCTATAGCTTGCTGCTGATAATTCAGTTACCAGGTTTCTCTTATTGTATTCACTGTTATTATTGTATTGCATTGAATTTCTATAGCTTGCTGCTGATAATTGGTTGAGATGGCATCCACCTAGAAATATATCCAGACCTCATTCCCTTGCGGAGGAAGCAATGAATAAGGTATGTCCCATCCAAAATACCAGACTGTGAAAATAATTAACATGTATTCTATATTTTACAACAGATGACCTTGCAAAAATAGTTTAAGCATTTTTTTGTTCAGTAATATTGAACAAAATATTTTGCTATATCTTGTATGCTAGCTTTTGAATTCTGACTCATTTCAAGTCTTATTCAAGACCCTTGTGCTAAAAGTTATCACAATTTTTGATATTTTATATCCATTGTGTTATAGTGGGGTGAGACTGATAGCAAAAGTGTAAAAAGTGCCTTTGCTGGTGGTCTTCCAACACATGAACAGTACAAGGAAGTACTTAAGGAATCTTTAGCTTCTGCATGTAAGTATGGAACATTATCGACTAGTCTTGTGATTTTTGGTATCTGTCAATTTCTTTATCTTGTGATTAAATAATTTGTAAATTAAATTTTATTTAGTTGAGTATTCTATTCAATCAGCTGATTGGATGGACTGAAGTAAACTTTTAGCAACACAAAACATTTTCATTTCATGAATAATAGTAAAAATTTCAGTTTCAAAATGATATTGGACTGATTTCAATGAAAGGACATGGTATTTGATATATTTACCAATAATGAAAATGTGCATAATTATGAGCCCACGGATTAACAGAATACAACAGATACAGCATTGCAATAACAAATAAATTTCTATGCCACATGCCTTAATATTTTTGTTATCTACAGTATCCAGCACAGGTGATAAGGAAAGTGACATTGGTGTAGACAACATTGAAGTTGCTGATGAGGTCATCGATGCCCTCATAACAAAGGAGCTTGAACCTGAAGACATAGAGCTAGTCAAAGATGAGGAAAGTGGTTTGAACATTGTCAGAATTAAAAGTTCAGCAACTGAACAACCTCCGACAGAATACGACGCTCAAAGTGAGGCTGCGTCTAGCCACCATACAGAAGCCACTAAGAGTGTCCTCAGTGTCCGTAGTGCTATTAAAAGCGTTCAGAGTATGGTTGAACAAAGTGTTCATAGTGCTGCACAGAGCATTCATTCAGATGCAAGAAGTGTTCATAGTGCAGGAGATGCAGAGTCTGTACATAGTGGGGGATCACATCCCAGTACAAGTAGCCATGCTGCGAGTAACAAAACTACTGGATCAAAGCCTAAGAGTATAGCTAAATCAGGCCATGTCTATAAAAAACCAAGTAAGAACCATTGTGATATCTCATATCATCCATAATTCTTAACTTGTCTTTATGTAAATGTTATTTAAAGGAAATAGAAAGCAATGAGAGCATTAAAACCTCTGCATGTATAAGTACAAAACACAGTTTTTAATGACTGAGAGTGACCCTGTTTCAAGACATCATTCTTGTCATTAAAAGTTTGATGATTTTAAAAATTTGGTTGTTTGATTTGTATTCAAGTAATGTTGTTTTATCTGTTCCTCCCCCATAGGTGAGACAGGTTCCATTTCAAGTAAAGTACCTGCCTCAATACCAGGACAGCGTGCTGACAATGCTGACCTTGAGCTGGATATCATGTGAGTTACCCTCCATATAGTTACCCTCCATATCTTATAATGCAACTATCCTAAAAAGTAATTAATGATAAACGAACCATTATTTTGTTTAGATATCTTTATATGCCTTATATCCATATTTGAGAACTCTCTTGTGGGTTGTGGGCCATATCAACTTGATCATGTTTTACTGACAATAGAGATGATGTAACTATGGTGATATGTTTTAGTAACTATGGTGAGGGTGAAGAAGAGAAAAAGTCTTCAGCTGCAGCATCCAATGAACAAGAAGAAGACGATGATGTTGAAGAAGACTCTGATGATGACAGTGTCACCGATAGCGTTATAGAAGCTGCAAAGTCCCTTGATACAGCAACACCTGATGCAGAAAAAACAAGGATAGACCTCCAACCAGAGGGAGCATCTTTACCAGCAGATCAGAGATCAGTCGCAAAATCCCGAGTGTCTTTCAGAGGCGAACCTGAACCAGAAAAAGCTGAATCTGACACGGACTTTAAGTCTCAGATTGAAGACCTTGTCAAGGTTAGATTTTTACATGCATTTATGGCTTATTATTTGGAATTTTCTAATCAAAATGGTTATTTTATAGATTTTATAATATGTAGTGAGTACATGCAGATTGCCTTTCAGCTTTGAAAATGTCCCTATGTTAAATCCTTTGGAACTGCATTTATTTTCCAGAATTTGCGTTGTTATGGGTGTCTTGTTTGTGTCTTGTACATTTCTTTAATTGTTTGTGCATTTTCATTTATTTGTTTTTGAAATAAATGTCATGTTGAGTCATTGTATGTAGGATATAGGATAAATTATTTGTTTATTGTAATGTTCATTTTTTATGTTCACTTAGATCACTGAACATGTATTCCAATTTCATTATTTGCATACTGTAATTATACATGTATACTGTGTGGTACAGGTTGGGAGAGAATACAGAGCAGCCAATAAACATAAACAAGTCATATCTTTTGATGAAGCAGTGCTTAAAATCATACAAGAGGAAGATTCAGTTATTCCTAAAGACAAAGAGCCAAGCGAGGTTAAAGAGAAGGAGCAAATTCCAACTGAGATAAGAAATGGAAGTGCTGGATCAGTTAAAAATGGAAGTGCTAAATCAGTTAAGAGCAGCAGTGCTAAATCAAATAAGAGTGGCAGTGCGGAATCAGTTAAAAATGTGAGTGCTAAATCAGTTAAAACCGGAAGTGCTAAATCAGTTAAAACTGGAAGTGCTAAATCAGTTAAAACTGGAAGTGCTAAATCAATTAAGAGTGGAAGTGCTGGATCTGTTAAAAGTGGAAGTGCCGAGTCAGTTAAGAAGGGAAGTGCTAGATCAATTCAGACAGGGAGTGCAAAATCAGTTAAAAGTGGTAGCGCTGAATCAGTTAAAAGTAGAAGTGCTGAGCCAGTTAAGAAGGGAAGTGCTAAGTCGATTATAAGTGATAAAAATATTGAAAGTGATATGACTATCAATGTGGAGAGCGAAAATCCAGTCATGCCCTATCATGATGATAAAACTGTTAAAACTGACAAAGATATTGAAGAAAGTGATCCAAAAATAGTTGACCCAGATGATGGAAATTCCACAGAAATTGACCAAGGTGATGAGAAGTCTACAAATATTGATCAGGAAAGTTTGGCTGAAGACAACCAAATGAAAGAGATGTCAATTGCTGAAACTAGCCAAGGGGGCATTGAGATTACTAAACCTGTTCTGGTATTGCCAGAAGAAGAAAACCCTGTTGAACATGATAAAGGTAGCGAAGAATCTGTCAGTAGTGAACAAGAGACTGAAACTAAATATGATGATATTGATAAAAATAGAGAACTACCTTTTGATCTGCTTAAACCACTCTCTCCAATATCAGAGAAAACTGAAGTAAGCATTGAACTAAAAAGAAAAAAGAGAGAGAAATCAAGTAAGCCTTCGTTCAAGGATGCTGGGAAGGAAGTCGTGCAGCTGATACAGATATCAGAAAAAGTCAAACAGGAAGATGCCAAAAATGATGTGCTCATGTCAGAAGGCAATGACACAGAGGAGGATGATGGGGACGATGGTTATGAGATTGATGAGGTTAAACTTGTTATCCATATAGAGATTTATAGCTTTCAGCTTTACTGAGAATTTAATGTCACTGTTACTGCCTGAATTGAATGAGGGGGGATGGAAAGGTGACAGTGACATGAGTCCAACTATTTTAAATACTTGCTTCGATATGCAACGGCGAATTTCCAGCTTTACAATTTCTCGATGTTGCACATTGCATTTTTTGTATTGCACACAATATAATTTCATATTGCACCAAATGTAATTTCATATTGCACCAAATATCTTTCATATTGCACCAAATATCATTTCATATTGCACCAAATGTTATTTCATATATTGCACCAAACATCATTTCATATTGCACCAAATATCATTTCATATTGCACCAAATATAATTACATATTGTGCCAAATATCATTTCATATTGCAACAAATATCATTTCATATCGCACCAAATGTCACAATTAAGGCAGGAATCACCATTGTATACTAATCAAAAGCAGATTGTGTCTATTTCAGATTGAGCTTTCGAAGATGTGAATTTCCACCACAAATCTGGATATATAATTGTTTTGATAATTCACAATCACAAAAATGTTTCATTTTAGGCAAATCATAATTGTGCTGAGCTTCTGACATCTTCGATTCACTCACAAATGTCGTTGAATGCAACTACATGTAATAATACAGGCCTCCTAGACTTCCAACAATGCGAACATCAGTTCTGACCTTGCGAACTACATTCCTTACGCTCCAACCACGATTCTCACGTCGCGAACGAGAAATCTTTAGTCGCGCACCACCATTTCCTCAGTCCCAAACATATTTCTCCACTCACAAACAGAGATTTGTGCTCATGAACCACACACCTGATCGAAAAAAGTCCGTAATTTTATTTGTATTATTACGCATAACTAAAAATGTAAACTGTCAATGTAAACTGCAACCAGACTCCTGTTGTTGCATGCAATTAGAATTCCAAATACCAGGATGTACTATGTACAAATTGTTCACTAGTGGAGAAATATGTTCGGGAGCGAGGAAATTGTGGTGCGCAACTAAAGATTTCACGTTTGCGATGTGAGAATCGTGGTTCCAGCGCAAGGAATGTAGTTTGCGAGCTCAGAACTGATGTTCGCGTTGTTGGAAGTCTAGGAGGCCTGTAATAGCCACATAGCTTAAAAACCACTGAACCAGCTGTACTTTTTGTGCACTCAATAATTACTTACTCGAATCAGAAATTTTAATTTTGCACAACTAAACATTGAGAATCAACTTTTTGATGAGTGGACCAAGTGCAGATTGGATCCAATTTCACCCAAGTACATATATATGGAAATAAGTGTTAATAATCAGGCCCGTAGCCAGGATTTGCCAAGGTGGGTTCACTTTTTGAAAAATTCGCGGGGGGGTTCACTTGTGACAATTTTGGTCCAAAAATGGCCAAAATCACTCAGTGGCTCAGAATGGTGAAAAACTGCATGATTTTGAAAGATTTTTCATCAGGGGGGGGGGGGGTGCCCTCAAACCAATCGAACCCCCCCCCCCATGGCTATGGTCTGCTAATTCAACACTTGTTTTATATATACACAAAACATTGCATTGATAAAATTGAGCTTTCATATGTATCATACACTGCTACACATCGTGTGCCGCTGCACTAATTGCTAATCAGCTTTTAAGATGTGTAATTTTATTCAAGAATCACATTTTGTAAGTGTTAAGAATTACATAAAAAGTAAATACTTTTACATTAGATATTACTCATACTGTGCCTATACTTAAAAATCAATTTAATCTTATACTACTTAGTAAGATGACAATCGCTGGGTGCATTATGGTATAAAATGTAGTCAACACTCATCCCACATGAATACCAAAATATATATAGTCAATAAAAAGTGAAACATAAATTGATCAAATATATTTAACTTTACAGGAGACTGGTTTGAGAGTTAAGAGTGTAAAAAGTGCAAAGAGTGCAAAGAGTGTGGCCTCCAAAGGTAGCAAGGGAAGCAGCAAGAAGAAGGAAGAATTCGTTGTTGGTAAGCTCAAGAAAACTTATGATTGTGGTGTTTTGAAAATGTGAAATAAAGTGCTAAAGAGAGGAATGAGAAAGAATTGCAGTGAACGGGAATGAAGTTGATGCTTTAAAATGTATAGAAGTCCAGCTCTTCATTCAAATCTGGAGAGAAAGGATAGGTATCGATATGGTGAACTGAATTCAATAATGTTTTTCTCTAAAACCAATTATTGAAAACATTCTATAAGAAACATGGTAATGTTGACTGATTGGTAACAATTCAATACAAAAATTATTCATATATTTTATATAACTGTTTTTGTTAACATTTTTTGTTTTTAGTTCAATTGTTTTTGTTCCTTTCTACCAATTCTTGAGAATGAAATAAAATATCTTTCCAAACCTTGTTGGAACAAAATAGCATATACAACATGTTTTTAGACCTCTCAATATTACAGTTATACAAAGGAAATTTGGTTGATTTTACAAAATGTATGCAAAAACTTAAAACAAAATCCCCCAAAATAGATAAAAATTAAGATGAACTTTTTTAAAATCAATCAAACTTTCCTTTGTACAATTACAATATTGAGAGATCTAAAACATGTTATGTTCATGTCGTTTTGCTCCAATGAGGTTCGGATAGATGTTTCATTTCATTCTGAACACATGATACCAAGAACAAAAGAAGTGTCTGATGTTTTTTCTAAAACAATATAGAGGAAAGGATATATATATGTTTCAAATTATAATGTTACCATCCAAAAGATGACCATTAAATTGATGATGTGTAAAATTTTCAGAATGTTTTGATGACTGGTTTAAGAGAAGCGCATGTTCAAAACGTTCACCATATTGATACCACTCATTTGAGGAATTGAAAGCATTATACAATTGATTTTGATATTGTACTTTTGTAATTATCGATATTTGATTGAGCTTTATATGTTTGCACAATAGTAGATAAAGTTAAATGATATTTATGAAATAACTTTATGCTTCGATCAAATAATCTGATTCTAGCTGTTGATTATCTAGAAACAATGTATGATTTTGTCGTATGATTACATATTTAGGCCAATGGACTTTGATTTGATTCTCTGATTACTGATTTCTAAAAATGAATGTGGAGCTCTAAGATGAGAATTTTTATGATTTTTCATGATTCTAATTACCAACAATTACTGAAATTGATAATGATTTTCAAAATATTTCAATTAAATGTTGAAATAACATTCTCCTGTTTTTATCACACCATTGGTGGGATATAGTCGTCATACTGGTCGTGATCGTGATCGTCCCGCTTTTTGTCATCGCCGTTTAAGGAAAACTGCTCATCAGATTTTCTCCAAATTCGGAGAGATGATAGAGCATATGAAGTACTAGAGCTGATTAACTTTTGGTTGGCCATCTTGTTTTCTGGCGGCCATTTTGAAGGTTTTTCGAAAAATCTTGTCATCGCCATTTCAGGAAAACCGCTCATTGGATTTCCTTCAAATTTACACAAATGATAGAGGATATCAAGTACTAGAGCTGATTAACTTTTGGGTGGCCATCTTGTTTTCTGGCAGCCATTTTGAAGATTTTTCGAAAAATCTTGTCATCGCCATTTCAGAAAATCCGTTCATCGGATTTCCTTCAAATTTACACAAATGATAGAGGATATCAAGTACTAGAGCTGATTAACTTTTGGGCGGCCATCTTGTTTTCTGGTTATACAATCACTATTTTAAAACTAGAGAAAACATACATCAACGTATAACCCGATTTGGTCATAACTTAGATATTCCTAAACATAGAACCAGAATTGGTGAAAATTCTATTAAGGTCCATGGTTCATATATATGGAATTCCCTCAATGAAGATATTAGAAATAAACCATTAAATTCACTCATATCTCGTTTGAAAATTGACCTCCTGAGTACAGAATAACCAAAACATTTTATTTCATTTCTTTATTGTCTCATATTATTGTATTTGTATATTGTATTCATATTATATTATATTATTGTATTGACCTATGTACCACTTTAAATGTTGACAGTTTATCATATTTATTGTAAATTTACTTATGGGCAGTTATACACCCCCTGGGGTGTCATAGCCTGTATAATGTTGTAATTTTTGTAATGAAAAATGAAATAAATTATTTTGAAATTGATTGAATTGAATTGGTGGCCATTTTGAAGGTTTTTCGAAAAATCTTGTCATCGCCATTTCAGGAAAACCGCTCATCGGATTTCCTTCAAATTTACACAAATGATAGAGGATATCAAGTACTAGAGCTGATTAACTTTTGGGCGGCCATCTTGTTTTCTTGTTCTTGAAATTTGTAAACATAATAGGAGAACAGTTTTCCTGGTTTATAGTGTCTGCCTATTTGATGGTGTGATCTCGTTCACGTCCTGTGCCTTGTTCAATGTTTTTCTGAAAATTTGGAACTATATTTGGAGGAGAATTTAGATTGACTTTTTGAAAAAGTGGTAAATTGAGAATGATGCTGAGAGAAAATATCAGAGTCCATTGACCTTACCTAAGTGTATTGTATTTAGTGCTTTATTTTGTCTACAAAAATTGACTTTAGCTTCCAGATCATCTGCACATACCCTGTAATTAAGAATCAAAACAAATTAAATACACACGTATGTATGATAAAATGAAAGCTTTACTATTGTCTAGTTTGTACGTCGTACACATTTAGAACTGCACATGACTTTTGAACTACACTTTCTATATTGTCATGTGTCTCTAGGCAAGGTCCCAGACAAGAAGGAATTAGAAACACTCTATGCTCCCGTGGAACCCCCACCCCCTCCAAAGCAAGAGAAGAGTAAGGCTTTATATGTGTAATTGTTATACAGTAAAATCTGTGTATGTGAACACTTCAATGTGAACACCTCAATGGAACACTTCAATGTGAACACCTTTATTTGACACATTTTTGTCCCCCCTCATTCAAAACATCTTCATGTGAGTACACCTCATAATGTGATCCCTCTCAGCCATTCTGAGCAGTGTTCACTTTAGACAGATTTTACTGTAGAATTACAATTTGCTAAAATATTAGCTATATGATTAAATGCCACCTTTAGTATCCCAAGCTTATTTTTTCAATTGAAATACCAAATTGATTACGGTATTTTCAGATTAAATTGCTTTCACATGCATTAGTATTTTAAATGACTCATTTGTAATATTTATTCAACCCAATTGGCATTACAATATAATGTAGTAAACTAAAAGTATTTTGTTGATGCATTTCTGCTTAATTTGTTCTATAAGAATCCCCTTTGGCTTAAGTTTTACCTTGTTTGATTAAATTCTTCTTGCCAATATTCGGATCCTGACTATACCCTTGGCTTGGTAGACCACATATATATTGCACAATGTAGATCTCTATTTTAATTCATTTTAACTACAGTCCAATACCATATCGATAGATGATATATCCTATAATTTTGACATATTATTATATTTAGAAGGTTTATCTTACAAAACCTGCCTCAATATTCTATTCTGAAAAATGTAAGTATTTGTTTACTAAAACAAATCATAGTACTGTTCAGGATACATTGTTTTAAAATATTAAAGGCAAGGTTAAAGAGAAAACAATTGTGAAGCCAACCCCTGCTGCCACACCTGCAAAGACACCGGCCAAGACACCAGCATCAAAGAAGTCAAAGAGGGGCAAGAAGGGGAAGAAAGAGCAGCCGGCACCTGAGAAAATAGTCAAGGAGCCCACAAAAGAGAAGATCAAGCCTGAGCCTGTTAAGAAGGCCCCTACCCCACCACCCGAGGCTCCCAAAGAAGCCGATCCACCACCCAGGGTATGTACTGCTCTATCATTTCTAATCCAAAATAATTAAGAAAAATCATGAATTTAAATTATATTCTGAAAATTTTAAGAGTGAGTTTTCCGTTCATTACAAACAGTTGAACCATATATTTACAGAACTAGATCAAAATATTGTCATTTAATTCCTCTGTTCTCCCATATAATTTGGCATACCCCAATATATTCCCATATTATGCCATTTAGGAGGAAGAGACCCCGTCACCAGAATTCAAGAGGGAACTGACCAAAGAGTTATCATTTGTGATCGTGCGTGATGAGTATTCAGATGACGAGGATGCAATACCAAAGCAGACTTTAGCCTCAAGACGTCCCACTATCAACCTGCCTCCCCCTCCCTCTTCCAATTTTGACACAGATGATGATACTGGTTCCGTAAGTTCCTCTTTTCTCTCTGAACAATAATTGCATAGTCTAAACACCTGAATCTCTCTGTATCACTACTGAGAGGGAATAACATGGCTACTGGGTCTAAATCCCTGACTAAGTCTCGGGAAATTGGGGATGGCAGATACTGCTTTGCGAAACCCACGAAGGCACCAAAACTTGAGCTCAAGGACCTGTCTGAAGTTGAACTTCCATATCTTGGGCAACAATCTTTTTTCACAAAATTGGCAAAATTGCTGCAAAAGATAAAGAAAATATTCACAATGTCTGTTTGTACTGTTTTCAAGTATCCAATTGCAATCAGCACATGTAATCATGAATTTTGTATTTGAATGTATAATATATGTGACATTTCTTTCCACCAGGAAACATCATCAAACCTTAAGAATATTAGCAACAAAGAAGCAAGAGCTGCTAAGAGGGCAGCAGCTGCAGAAAGACGACGTAGAGAGGTGGAGAAACGTCGTAAAGAGCGGGAAGATCAACTCAAGAAGGAACGCGAAGAGATTGAAAGGAAGGAGAAAATGAAACGTGATCTGGAGGAAGAAAGGAGAATGAAAGAAGAGGAAAGAAGGTAAGGATTGAACACATATATTGTAGTGTGTTTTGTGCATACTCTTCAATACAATTTCAGTTTGCTTCTTCATAGAGAGCCTTATCTGATAATAATAGCCTCTGATCCTCAGTGACAATTAAAAGATGGCGTATGAGTAGGTTCCTAAAGTGCAAATATTTAGATGATGTTGTCTATGCATATGGTCATCAATGTTATAACAATTTAGAAAAACATTTATGGCATTTAATTTCAGACTTGCCAAAGAAGCCCTAGAGGCAGCAGAGCGGAGAGAGGATGAAGAAAGGGAGGAACGTCAGAGGAGAGAGGAGAAAGAAAGAGAGAGAAACAGAAGACTGAAAGAGGAATATGAGAGGAAGCTAGAGGAAACCAGGAGACAACATTTGGAGGAAGAACAGAGACGAATGGGTGAGTAGATTGAGAGTAGGTAGGAGGGTAAGAATTTGGGTAGGTGGGTACACATTGGGTAGGAGCGTACGCATTGGGTAGGTGGGTAAGCATTGGGAAGGAGGGTATGCATTGGGTAGTTGGGTAAGCATTGGGAAGGAGGGTATGCATTGGGTAGGTGGGTAAGCATTGGGAAGGAGGGTAAGGATTGGGTAGGTGGGTATGCATTGAGTTGGTGGATATGCATAGTTCGGAATGGTACATGAATAACATGGGAAAAACACAATGGATGTTAGAATGCTTTGAAGGCAAAGTTGATATTTGCATTAATATTTTTGTGCAATTGAACACATGGCTGCTTGATTTTACAGGGATGCATTATAGTATAATTTAAAGTGACCCTCATATTTTTGTGACACTTGTTTTGCTTAGTAATGTGCAGTGCAGTCCAGTAATGTGCTGCCATCTGTAGGCCACTTCTATATAAATTTGAGTTCCCTTGCAGATTAGTGTTCAATGTGTTTTTTGATTTTTTGATGTTCATTTGTATTTTTGCAACCATGCAGGACTACAGAGTGTATTGAAATGTCACAAAGATTTTTCTTTCGTTTCAGTAATAAACAGTACTTTTCAACGATCACCATTTATCCACTCAAATATTCTATGAGATGTTTAGAATTATATTTTGGGAATCCTTCTTCACGTTCAACAATAAATCGTATAGTACATGAAGATTTTTATAATATATGTATTAAAACTGATTATTTATGAAAACTGCAAAAAGCGTATAATTGCCAAGTATGTACATACCTGCATACCATCATTCTACATAGAGTTATCAGAAAAACGGCCTTCGATTCTATGACCTTAATTTTGTTAAAAAAGCATAATATGATTTTAAGTGCTTACAAGGGTAGATTGCACCAGAAATCATGTTCCCTGTTGTAGTTCCTTGTATACTATCTGTGATATTATATTTAATGAGAATATGCATATTGCAGAGGCTCTCCTGCAAAAACAACGAGATGATGAGGTCAAACGACGAGAAGAGGAGATGATGTTATATGCCATGGCAGAGCAGGAACGAATTGAATATGAGAAGAAGAAGAAACTTGAAGAGGAGAGGAAAAAGAAAGAAGAGGAAGAACTAAGGTCTGCTCAGCTTAAATAATGCTTAAAAGTTTCACTGATTTTCAACATTTTTTAAGTTTTAAAAAGTTAAGATGTATTGTCTATTATGGTACTCTAATAGGCCATAATTCAACCATGGGCCAGCTATCATGATTGAGGGTATATCTATTTGATACTTTTGTTTACTTTTGTTCAGTATTAATCTAATAAGCATTCAATGCTATCTTTAATATGATCACTGAAGGATGAGACTTTTGTAAGGGTATTCAGTGATTTCAGACAGTGAATAATGACTTAGGGAGTGATAACATAAGGAGGTGCTGCCATCTTTATGACCTGTACAATCAATCAAGTCAGCTAGACCTTTACTAAACTAAAAATGAATTAGTTTGTATTCTTTTACAGAATCAAGCGTGAAGAAGAAGCTAGGCTGAAAATGGAAGAAGCGATGCGATTGGCCGAGGAGATGGAACGCAAGAAAATGGCGTTGGAAGAGCGGATGAAGTTTGCTCGAGGCCTTATGGTACTTTGATTCCAATCTTTCCTCATGAATAATAATATAATTAATATTACATTGTCAGTTGTGACAGATAAATAACTGTTCCCGCATCAATGCATTACTCTTAATAACCTTTCACGTCTGAAACTAAATGTTTATAAAATTTCAATCCATTAATAACAGAATACATCAATTATCTAATATATGTTTTGTAATATTAGATACAAGGTTTATACCAGATGAATCACTTGATCAAATAAATCACTTTAGATACACACATTTACCTTTGAAAATAGTCTAAAGATTTCATAAAACACAATAATGGCACATGTATGACTGAATGACAAGGCTGAAAACTACAGATATTTGGGATTCAGTTTTATAATTCTGTCAAATGGAGTCCAAAAGCAAAATTTTCTTTAGGTATATTGTTCGTATTTGATTGAATCTTGAAACCCAGCTTGTGTTTGTATTGCATGATGATCCCAAATCGAACATGGTTATTGACAGAAGCTATAGAAAGATTGTTAATGAAGTTATTTTTTTGTATTCCAGGTGGAATCCAAGGGTCTAGAACACAGTCAAGACGTCAGTAGGGCCTTTGTGTTTTCATACTATGAACTTTTACAATGGCTCGGACTCGACCTTCCTGAGTTTGAGAAACAAAAGAAAGAATTTGATCTGGGAGGTGGACATTAACATTTATTGTATTTCTAATCAATTGAAGTCAAATCAATTTTAATTTTTGTTTCTGTATTTGAACATATATTTCAATTCATTTTTTTAGAAAATTATAAAGTTTGTATTGGCATGATTGCTTCCAAAATTGCATTTATTAAACACTGCTATTTCATTAAAGACTGTAGTATGAGTTTATCATACGTGTATTATTTCATTATATACTGCATTACTAGTATACAGTATATATACTGTATATACTGTATTCTTTCATTATATACTGTATGACTAGTATTTCATTATATACTGTATATTCTGTATTATTTCATTATACAGTGTACTATTTCATTAAATACTGAATTAGTTCATTATATACTGTACTATTCATTATAATATTGAATTATTTCATTATACACTGTATTATCTCTTTGATTCAACTGCTGATAATTTCATATTACTGAATGATATTTATAAAGCTTATGATATCTTAGCTCTGAGATAGAGGCACTGTCCTAGCCAATGAACTTTCACATGTAATTCCAATGGAGTTACTATCATATTAGCGTTGAGTATATGGGCTCCAATTAGCTGGACAGAGATGGCTGTCTTTTATCAACAAACTACATGTATCAAACTGTGATAATATGTGATAGATAATAGAAAATTCATAATTATTACTATTGCAATTCATTATTCATTGCTTAATGAACATGTAATCATTTGCATAATCATGGGCATTCTAGAGACCCTATAGTGTAAATTATTGAATAATTATTTTGATAATACAAGAGCATTTTAATTATACCTGTATAATGTGTATATAGCATGAAGCCATCCATGACCAAATATGGTAGTATAAATATAGTTTTTGAAATGCTTATGAGAAACAAAACAAAATATGATGATATTTAGCTTTTTTAATGTATTTTATTTTGTATGGTTAGGTCAGTGAATATATGATCCGTCCAAAATGAATTAATGAGATTGTTTTATTTTTGTCATTATATTTAATTTATACATTTGATATATGAAATACAACAGCATACTGTTGTTTACAAAAATCATTTCTATTTATGTAAGTCTACATATATGTATATAATAACGTAAATGATGCACTCGTATACCATATATTTACATGTACATGTACTTGAACTTGAAAATACATGAATGAGGCGTATTTTAAATATATTATATTTTTATCAATTATAGCCTATCCTATCAAACTGTTTCTTAAGTGGGGAATTTATGAGTATCTGTCTGGCTTATCCAATATGAGATAAACAACTACATTTGCAGCCTATATATCAATTAAAGGTCACATTTGTGTGCACATAAAATGGACAGTTTTGTATTGTTGCATAATATGAACTAACAGTGTAAAAGTAGATGATGAGATTATAGCTTTTAATAAATGTGTATTTTTATACAATAAATGCAATCGTTGGTATATCACTTTAACCTATGATATTGTTTGGTTTAAAGTATTATATTATAACATGTGAATATACGAATAATATCTTTGGGAATCGGGGCATCTCCGGGCCCACAGTAAGAGGACGTATGTATATCCAAAATCTTAGCATGAAATCATGCGTTCAATGCATTGTGCATGCCAATAATATTGGTAATGCTTTTATCTTATATGCACGGGGGTCGCTTATATTTTACTCTCTAACTGAAGTACACATTATTCAAGGAGAGGTAATCCACAGAACTATACGTTCTCTCTAACTTGAGTTTCTGTTTTCTCTAACTTACCTGAAATGTGTAACTCTTGAATTGATGTATGTTACTCTCTGACTGATGTTTACATACTGTTATTGACACGCTCTCTCCGTCCCCCCCTCCCCTGGCTACGGGCCTGATCTCAAATACGTTACTCTCTTACATCAATACAGACTCTCTAACTGACATAAACATCACTCTCTTACTGATGTTATTTGATACATTGACCAGGGTCGTATTAATTGATATTCCCTGGTGATATTTTGTAACTTGTTCAATATTTGTGTTTTATTAATCTAGATAAATATTAGTAGCTGTAGAATATTCTTTAGCCTATACTTGACACAGTTAAAACTATTTGTACTGCTCAATCCATAAGCGCCTCAAGGAGCGGAGACACGTAAATAGCATTAGCCAGTTCAATAGAATTCGCCACAATTTTCCATACAGTTCTGCTACCAAACACACAATAAGCTCCCCTTGTAGAGAGCACATTGTTCGTCGAAAAATAGCGTATCGAATTATTCATACAAGTATCACCTTAAATTGCCTAGTTCTATAGAAATACGACCAACTACTTGAAAATGACATATTATAGATTGATTTTTGTGTTTAAATGAGGGAAATGATGTATTTTGTAACATTCGAGAAGAACTCATTCGGTGCTAATAGATGCAAAGCTCCATGCTCCGTAGAAAAATAGTTCTTTGCTATAGATTATCGCCCAGGGGAATCAGCATCTAATCGTTTTTAAAGGTGACTAACTAATACCATCTAAGTATGGAATCGCCTGAATACTCATTCTACATGTATGGTAAGATGATTCCACTATATGCGATTCCTAACTACCCTTTCCAAGAGCTCAAGTGCATCTACACCTCTTTAGATTAGAGATAGATAATTCACATTTGCCTCTTAAAAGAGAGCTTCATCTACAGTTCATCTTTAGCATTGTGGGATCCACAGTCTCTTCTATCCCTTGGAAAGAGAGACTTATAAATCAGAATACATCTTATACAATGTCCAGGCATTCAGTACCCTTCGCATTCGTTCGACTTTCTTAAAAGAGAGCTTCGTCTAGTTTATAACTAGACTCTGCACGCAGGGTAGACATTCAGAGTAATCCTATCACATTCGAATGTCCATATAGGGAATAAACTCTGCATTTTGGATCATTAAGATTAAGTGTCCAAATAGCTTGTCAGAGGGAAATGTGTTTGGACAATTGGAATTTAAAGTTTGCCGCAACAAATATTATTATTATTATTTCATTTTTCTAAAGTAAGAGAAAAATATCCATATAAATATTGAAATGAGCTACACTCCAGAGTTTATTTCAAATATTTCACGATGCAGCACCCTGGGTTCGTTCAATGCTCACACAAATGAACAATGTGAATCTGTTGATTTTGTATTTTATTCACTAGAGTAGTTTATCTTGCTTTTATTGGCTACTGGGTTGAAAGGACGAACTAAGTTGCTTAACAAACATTTGTATCAGCGTCAATTGATATTGCAATGAAATATACCAGCATTAATTTTAGAATTTAGTATCAATATTTACTATTTTCTGATATGTATCAGACTATAATGGCATTCAACGATGGTCGATTATATTTTCTTTCATTTTTTCCCATGTCCTTTTGTTTCATATGGTTTTGGGGATTTGTGGTTTGTATTTCAAATGGTGTTATTGTGCTGTATCGACACGTAAACGTTAAGTACAACGATGAAATAATAAAGTTTATTCTTCATCGTGTTGCTCAAGCACCGTCTTAAATTTCGATTGCCTGGGAAATGACATGAACGAAGAAAACATTCTTAATATTAATATTAAATGTATTTCGCAGAGACGTAGCGTGGTTCTATTGGTGCTATACACTAAAAGTTCATACTTTTTCAGGAAGAACTCGTTGGTTATTGTTGCAAGCTCAAAGGAACCATGTGAGAGAAGTAAATTAGCGTCGGATGGGGGAGCTCTTTTTATTAACACCAAACCAATCGTTAAGGGAACAAAGAGTAATGAATTAGGGGGTATAATTGGGGGACATTATTGACAAAAGGTTTTCATGTCTTCGTCATTCGCCTCAGTGAGCGCTAAATGCCGTCCTTTGTGGACCCGTTCGCTATTTAGAGTCGTTCTCTAATATGAATAGGTCGTCTTTTGTTCGCACTTCATTTTAGTCTTCATCAAATAACGTACACAGCAGTATTCTATTTCAATTTCTCGCATTATATTGAAAGGTTTATAGCAGATATGAAAGAATAATTCAATTTTGTTAGAATGGGGGAGAGGTCTATAAGTTGGCAATATATGAATGGCCATGGGAAGCATTTGTTACACTAACATTCGGTTTCAGTGAATTCCAACCAAGTATTTGAATCTTTTGAAGTATTTCAAAACATGACGAAACTGACGTTTTTTATGTCATCATGTGCATTAACCTTTCTAGTCGTTTGATTTCTCTTCTTAAAAGAGAGCTTCATTCCCGGGGCTTCATCTCATCTACTCCCTACTTATTTCCAGACTCTAACACTCAGAGACTACATACAAACCAATAAAACTCATATTCAAATTATCGTTTCGTCTATTAAATGAACAAGTAGAATCAAATAAAAGCTGTTGAAAGTTACATCGTGATCAATCAACAGCTGAACGGCATGATTGTTAGCATGTAATGATGAACAAAAAACTTTGTTTAACAAGCTTAAGGTTATTCTGTTTTGCTGTCGTCGGTTTGCTAAACTTCGACTAATACGTTAAAGAGAAACTCGTTATATCATTTGAAATGTCCGAGTAACTCGTTAAAACAGTGATTTTCATAATTTATACCTACACTATAAGTAGGCTTTATATGGCTTGTCATGGAATAGAAAGCATTATTTTGGTCTCAACTTTAGGAACAGATTGGTATTATTTCCTTGGGAGTATAGCAGCTTCTTGTTATACACCGTTCTGTTCAAATAAGATTTAATTTCTTTGTGTTGTTTCTGGAGTTCACAATTCAATGCCAAGTGTCTTTGATTGTTCAGCCGTTTTTGTATCCGAAAATTTTGAATGGAACACGAGAGGAACATGGTAGTCTAAGTACTCTTGGATTGATGTGTCGAGAGATTTGTTGACCTTTTGATCGTAATACTCGACGGGGTTAAGTAGAAGACTCTTCTGCGAGGGGATTAACTAAATCTACTGGGAGCATGCTGAAATGCCATCTTACTTCTCCTACCTTCCCACAAAATATTTGAGCTAATTTGGTAAATTCCTGATACAAAAAATGTCACATTACAGAAGCACTGGATAAAGCATGCTCAATCATCGAGCCTCGGAGCCAGAAGTATACCCGGGGGTTATAGAACATACTACGGTAGAGATTCAAGACCAATACTAAGTAAAACACCAGCTATAAGTGTGTCTGAAACGATAATAATATATCACTAATGGCCATAGACATGGTAATTGATGGGATGGACAATGATTCTTTAGAGGGAAAAACCTACATTGCATCCTATGTTAACCACCAATTATGTCTTATTCCCGGCGTTGACGAGGAAGGCGTCTACTGTGTTTTCATTCACAAACACTTTTGTAGTTTTGCCACGGATTTTTTCAAGGGCCCTAGATGTAAAGAAATTCGAACTAATAGATAATCCTTTAATTGTACGGACCACACTGCCTTACCACTGACATGATGTGGTTTTGCTCGTGTCAGTATATGTTCTTCTATACTGTCACTTCCTCGATTGAATC